CATCAATTTATTTATATGTATATGTTTTCAAAGTTTTCAGAGTAATCGTAAGGGAGCCTGTACATGGGAGACTTGCACTTGCAGGTTCAGGTCAGATCGCCATAAGCCCGTATGAGTGCGAGAGAGAGTACATAAATTCTTGCATCTCTCTCGCACTTGCACGGGCTTGTGGCGATCTGATCTGAACCTGCAAGTGCAAGTCTCTCATGTGCAGGCTCCCTAATAATGTATAGATGTTGGTCAAACGTCACATCATATCAAATTGAATAAAGTAAAATTGGTAAGTAGATAACAACTTGCACTTAATAAATAGTTTGCTTAATGTTGATTAGTTAAAAACAAAATGATATGAGAATCACATTAACTCTAATCATGAAATTATAATAATAAAATAACGAATGTAAGGACTAGTGTGTACGCGTTCCTCAAGTTCTAGTGTCAACTCCACGAATGGTACAGTCATTAACGTAATAGTTAGAGCAATGATGCGTAATTATAGCATCAGCAAAATAACCGGATGACACTTGGTAACATTGCAGTAGGAGCCATTTCCAACCTTTTGACCATTTAAACTAATGCTCCCCATTGATTAAGAACCGAGATATGGGGCGATGAAAAAAAAAATTTTTTTTTTGCTTGTTAACCAAACCAAACTAAGTACGGTTAACAGAAAGGCTTACACCTAACGTATATCACACAATTTTTGCCAGCCGAAACGTACCGGCTGATTTGAAACACGGAATTATTTTGAAAAAAAATACATTTTGCCCTAGAAATATATATATATATATATACACTTTGCCAAGAGAACCGGACACCGGACCGAACCAAAAGAGGTTTGAACTTTGAACGAACCTTATATCAAAGTAGTTGGTATAGTTATATATCCCCTTTTAGTGAGCTTTTTTTTACAATTTAGCTTTAGGCTGTTGCACGATTCTTGGAATAAAACGCTAAAAAAACGCGTTTTCGTCCGAGAACAAAAAACTTACTGACCAAATTCTGCGACCCCACATAAATCATTCCATGCGTATTTATAAATTTTCGTGTCGTTCGAGAACCGACTGAATGAACTAGAATGAACCAACTGAACCAAAAAGTAATCGCAAATTAACCTATTCTGTTTCATTCCACGAATCCACGCTCTCTGCCGGCGTTCTGCTGGTGACCTGGTGACAGATGATTTGTCCAAGTGTCATGTTATGAAAGTGTGTTTGTGTTGTGATAACAATACATTACTTATATTTATCGAGCAGTAATCTGATTAGTAGTAATCAAGTATCTATATTTGCGTGTACCTATATGGGAATATTCGTTATTACTTACCGTGAAGGCTTGAAGTAAGAAATATCTCATTAATAACTATACTCTCGTATTAGTCGTTGTTAACTTACTATGTCAATGTCATCTGACTGTATTACAGAATTTAAGGTCCAAGCCTTACTAAACTTTTAGGTATAAGTATGTGGTACCTTACAACGTGAACGTTACCAATTATACATAGGTAGAATCCTTTGGGATCCTGCAGGCAAAAGAATATCTTTTACATTTACTAAGACTGTATCTTATTACGCTCGCCTTCAGTGCTAGTATATTTACAAGTGATTCTTGACGAAACCAAAAATGGATCAACTTCTGATTCAACTTTTTCCCATTGCAATCAATGTGATAATGTCGATGTTCACATATTTTTCAACAGTGAGGCTGATACCAAATGTCAAAGATATGTTTATCAAAGCAAACCTGTATGGTTTTGATATGAACAAAACCAGTAAAACAAAAGTGTAAGTAATGTACGCTAAGCGAATAGTACCTGAGGGTGAATGTTACATGATTTAAAAAAATGTAAAATTAACTTTTCAATCTACTGATTAAGACTATGATTTTTAGTCCGGAAGCTTTGGGTGTCGTTTGTGGGTGCACTTTTTTAGTTACAATGTTTTTATTTATCCCGATGCCATTCTTTAACCATTTCCGAGAAGGTGCTAAGTTTAATCACAAGGAGGTGAGTTTCTGATTTTAATTAATTTTTATGATACATAATAATGCAACAGACAATTAGCTATTTGTAAAAAAAGTTACATTCATGTGTATTTCTATTTTAGTTTTCTGAATTGTTGGTAGCAATACTCTCTATTTGTTGTATGGTGTTTTTGGGATTTGCAGACGATGTATTTGATCTGAAGTGGCGATACAAGTTGCTCCTACCAACAATTGCTAGTCTGCCACTGCTTATGGTATATTACATCAGTTCTAACATGACTGAGATAACAGTGCCAAAGCCATTTAGGCCATTATTTGGTGACTTTGTAGATTTGTGGATATTTTACTATGTATATATGGGAATGTTGGCTGTATTCTGCACAAATGCCATTAACATATTAGCAGGAGTCAATGGCCTGGAAGTCGGTCAAAGTTTAATTATTGCAATGAGCATACTAGTTTACAATATTGTGGAGTTATCACGTGATTATTTAAAATCCATGACGTTTTCCCTGGAACTGAATGATAATTTATGGAGGGCTCACAAATTTTCCATGTATTTCATCATTCCCTACATAGCTACGTCTCTTGCACTTTTGAGGCACAACTGGTAAGTTCTGCAACCGTCAATAATCTATTTGCACACATTTATGAATTATTATTAATATAATAGAATGGGTACAGTTTTTTAAAACTTTTATTAAATCAATTAATTATAAGCACACTGTAAATAAAAAACAACATTACAGTCTTCTTCGAAGGAAGTACTTCATTATGTATAGGTACATATGTTATAACACTAGCTTTGTTTGTTCAGTGAAATGTACAGCGGTAGAAGGGAAACATATTTTACTTCAAAGTAAATAACAAATAGATAAACGAAAAATGATAATAGTGCTAAATACACAAATGATAAAAGGTGTTGCAATATACATAGACACACGTTACATTAAATAATACAAATAACATCACCTGTGGCGCTATAAAAATGCAGCGCGTACACGCGTTGCATCATACATCATACATCAATTGATATTCGAAGTGTTAAGCGACTAGTAGCGCTGCCCTGAGGGTTCGATTTGGAACTATATGTTTCCCCAGAGTATGCGTTCAAATCGTCGCGGTCGCAACGACGTAGAAAATAAGTTTTTCTATTTCCTTAACCGATTTAATGGATTATGTGGGTCAAGGTTCACGCAAATACGTGGAAGGTGAAAATGTGGCCAACGCCAACCACATTTTTTACTGTGCTATCGAGGCACAATCGTCCAAAGAAGTAAAATTAGTATGTTTGTGTTTGAAGTCTACTGAAATATGATTAAAAAAATAAAAACTCATCAGTACTACCGCTACGGTTTGAACGCATACTTTGGGGAAACATATAGTTCCAAATCGAACCCTCAGGGCGGCGCTACCAGTCGCTTACCACTTCGAATAGCTTTACTGAAGTGTACCAAGTACAAACAAGTTTTGTTTGAAATATCACAGTCGGGCGGAGGGTGAGGCGAGGATTGGCGGATATAGAATACTAGGCTAGCGTGTTCAATGTTTATCAGAGTTATGCCTCGTATTTGGAAACTATACTGGGATAAATCAGCGCATTCGATGTAGCGAAGGACAGTAATGTAGTATATATAGGTGTACACGCATAGCGTATACATTAGTATAAAATAAGTGAACAAAAAAAAAAAAAAAAAAAAAAAAGCGCCGTCAATCGTATGAACACCAGTACATCAGTAACATCGTCACAACAACATCATCGTCGTCGCCGTGAATTCAATAGTAATCCAGCTTGGCGTAAAAATTCTCGACCAGCCAGTCGTACTTCCACGTGTTGTTGAGCACAGTCTCAGGCGCATAGTAAGCGTCCCTGGACCTATAAGCTCTCAACAGGCTCGTCTTCTCGTCGAACCAGGTGCCGCTCCCGATGAGATCCTCGATAAAGGGCACGTCGACGTTGCGCCCGGCCAGCAACTGTTGTAGCAGCACCACCTCCTTCGTCCTGTTCTTCTCGCGCAGGGCGGCTATGATGTTGCCCGGGCCCTGGCAGAACTGACAGTACCAGCCGCCGTAGTGATTGAGATCGCCGATCACAAGCCCAATGCTGTCCCTCTGCTGTTCAGCAAGCACCTCGTTGCTCGCGATCGGCTCCTCGCGCTCCGGGAGCATCGGCGAGTAGTTGCTGTCGCCGCCATTGTCACTGTCACGATTATCGTCGACGAGGCGATAGTAGGAATCACGAACGAGACCGAGGCTCGAGGCACCGAGGCTGATGCGCGTGCGGCTCGGGTGCTGCCAGAAGAAGCCAAAGACGGACCAGCGCAGCCGAAAACCGATTGGCTGGGGCCACCCGTCGTACGTTTTGAGGAACATGAGGGCCCGCCCGTTCAGTATCTGCTCGGCGTCCGTCGTCACGCATATGTCGTCGTCGCGTAAATTTTTAACTACCTGTCTCACCTGCTCCCACACGTACTTTGATATCACACCGGCCGGCTTTTTCGCCTTCGAGGCCACGTTCAGGTAGAGGATCTTGTCCTGCTGCTTGCCAAGGAAGCCCTTTGCTGTACGGAAAACCCACAATATAATCAGAGCATATGGGTAAACAAGCCAATACAATGGCGTAATGTCTTAAGTGATGGTGGTATATTGTACAGTACTCACCCAACCTGTGGCGAAAATTGTCCTCGGCGAGGCTAAAGTCGCACACGACGAAGAGATCGACCACCGGATAGAGTTCCTCGACGATGACCTCGGTGATGGCCGCGTTGTAGTCGTGCACGTAGAACGTGTGCACAAGTCTGCGGGTGAGTTTGCGCCTGGTCAGCTGAACGTTTTGCTTGGAAGCCATGATGGCGCGCCAGACGACCTCGGGCTGGCCGCAGTCGGAGCCATGCCAGCCGGGAAGACAGGCGCACCGGTCAACGGTGCCGCCGCCCGCGTCCACGAGGTCGCGCCTCATTCTGCGATCGTCGACCCCCGAGCGCCAGCAGAGGATCTGATTGTAGGCCTGGAAGAGCCGGAAGGTCTTTGTCTCGCGGAGCGTCGTCTCCGTGCCGATTGCGTGCCATCTCTCGGCCGCTTGACCCTCGTCGTAGTGAACCTCCTGTTGTTGTTTTGTTTTTTTTTTTTTCGAAAGTAATCAAGTTTTTTTTTAACATCCTCCCTTCGCCAATGTATACATATTATTTTGGTTTGTAATTGGTGTATGATCAACGAATTGGAATAAATATTAATACCGGAGGATCTCTGTCGTTGTGAACAAAACTGATCGTGTTCCTAAGAGCGACGGGCCCGTTGCTCAGGTCGGATACGTGGGGCATGGACGCGACGTAGAGGACGACCACGAGGACCTGAAGGACGAGAAGCGTGTACAGGGAGACGAGCTTCCAGTCGAGCTTAGTCTGCATGGCATTGCCGTCTTCTTTTGCCGGGCCGTTGACGATGCAGTGTTTTTTATTACCAACGGCTATTGGTCCATCTGTCGATGCTGACAATGACGAGGACGATGATTCGTCTTCATCGCTCCCGCTGTCGCAGCTGTTGCTGGTGCTGATGACACCGCCAGGGCCAGCAGTAGCTGGTGTTGTTGGTGAGGATGCTGCCGAGACGGTTGAACGCTGCTGGCGTGTGGCGAGTCTCCGGCGAGGCTGGTGCCGGCCCCCACTGGAAGCATTTACGTGTGTTTTCCCCGTGCGCCGAGCAGAACATCTGCAAAAGAAAAGAAAAAAAACATCATTAATTTATCGTCACCTGTCTCTCATACAACAGAACTCGATCTCACATGTGGCTTCGTTACATTTTATCGGCGATTCTGCGAATGTACTTGTATAATATGATGATTAAAAATGCAAGCGAGCGCACGTGCGTATAGGTCAATTCTTGGGTGTACCTATCTCATACACTTGTACTTATTTGTTGAAATTGAATGTCTATCTGGGCAAAACGTGCTGTACGATGAAATTAGTTGTTAAGTACTGATGCTGGGATTCATTGGATTAGAAACAGAAAAGGGGGAAAAAGAGAAATACGACTGGAGTGAACTTGCACGGATTCCACGTTATACCTATTATACAATATATATATAGCTACATCGATCATTCTGGGCAACATTGCAAATCATCATCATAACAATATGGTTGAAATATCTGCCAAGAAAGTTGTTGCTGTAATTAATATACGCATCATTTACACACGTATTCTACAGCAATGTGCCTTAAGTACACGGATGGAACAGATAAAAGTGAAGAAGAAGAAGAAGAAGAAGAAGAAGCGAGAAGTAAAAAAAGTCCTATGAGTATACGTGTGCTACTTCTCTCTTGCGGGGAAGATAAGACTTCAGCGAGTCGGTACGTACTTAAAATATATTATATCTGCGTGCCAGATGTCGTGCAAATTAAAGTTGGTTGAGAAAAATAAGCTCCGCCGGCTGGGAGAGAAGCAACTGATTGACGGGCCCTTTTCTGTTTTTTATTTTATTTTTCGGGCTTTATACTTTGATATACTTTGATAAATTCAGTTGGCACTTGTCAGTCCCAACGAGCACTTGTCGTCACGCGCACGAGACTCTTTGATTTAAAACTTTTTAACAATTAGCCCTTAAGCATCACCTACCGATCACGATCACGATATGCAGTTTAATCTAATCAATGTTGTCTCTATAACCAATGTAAATCTGACCGATTTCTTCGACAACTGTACTTGTGGTCTAAAAAATAAAAAATTGACGATGAGTACCTATATAATTACATAGGGTGTATATATATATATATTACACGCGCACAGCTTCCACCCAAATTGCAAAAGTCATGGCAACGCCTTAGTGGCATATCTATAGTACTTTCAAACCAAGACGCGTCGAAGAGCCCGATAAGTATACAGTTGAGATGAAAATAACAACGAGTAAGGGTTGAAAAGGCATCAGTAGTGATACGGATGGGCCTATACTGAAAAGGCATTTCGTTCGGATGCCACGGTCAAAGAGATAGAGAGATTCATCGAGAGGCGCTACCAAATATATATATATATATATATATAAATAGACATCTTCGCGAGCACCCGAGTTCATAATATGTACGGCCAGAGTATCTCGCGGGGCTCGTCATTTCCGTATATCACTTCCTTTTGTCGTTTCTCTCGTGTTCAACACTGACGAACGCGATCGCGTTGCTCGAGCACGAAGAAAGAATATACTTATCCCCCGAGAAAAGCAAATGAAGCTCCAAACACCTTTTACCGTGCATCGCCCAGGAACGGTTTACAATATCCTCCTCCGGAACTCCACTCGGCACAATCGAATCACCATACTTGCGTAAATACTGTAAATACGCCGGTTTAGCTCGGGGAAATAACAATGTTATTGTTGATGCAAGAGACGAGCCGAGGAGAGAGGATACCGTGCGACTGCGAGGTCGGAGAGGGTGACAACCAGGAGAGGAGGGTCGCTGCTCGCAACATCGCGCGTATAGACGATGAGCGCTTCGGCCGGTGCAAGGATAACTTCGTGCGAAGTCGGAAAATCGATGCTCTTCGCTTTGGACGTAGTATACACTTCGCCCCGAAGCCAGCCCGTGAAGTTACACAACACGCGTGCTCCCGACCCTCCCTTTCCGTCTCTGTACGTATGCATTATTATATCCACACCCAGCCCCTGCGCCCTGGACCACCGGAGCTCGCTACTTTGCTTTGCTTCACCTTTCGCGTTCTTATTCATTTTAACATCGCGCTGCCCGACCAATTACAAACTTATCTTTTTGCCCTTTTCGAGGTATATTTATACGCTAATCGCTGCAAAATATTATTTACACCTTTACTCCTGTACGTATATTTATACCTATGTTTACTAATAACTGTGTCTATACGTTAATTTGAGGGAAATGATAAATTTACAGCGCAAACCACAACTGCCCTTACACTTGATAACTTTTTACTTTTGCAAACAAACGAAACTTCCACTCGTTCGAACGCGAAAAATCTATGGGAAAAGGAAATTATCAAATATTACGTATAATATATCATTATGAATACTTGCAGATTAATGTAGCAAATATTATTCGTTGGATTGTGTTATCACCTATATATATACGCATTTATATAAATATAGGTATACAACAACCGCGTATTCGTGTATTATAGGTATGTATGTGTATATATATACACTGAAAAGTTCATTTGTATAAACCTATACGGAAAACACTTACGATACGATGCGTTAAGTGTATATTGGATATACCTATACACCTACCTCAAATAAGTTTATTCAAAATGTCAAGTACAGTATATGTGAGCGTACAGTCATGAATGTACACACGTATCGACACATGCATACATAAATTAAAAAAATGTGCAGTAGCATATAAAGGTAATATTAATTTGATGGGAGGTGATAAAATACGGGCGATGTGACGTGCTTCTTCGTTAGCTCAAAGAATATCATGTGTATCATAATGACACACCGAAGTCTTCATAAAAAAAGATAAATTCGAATGAAAGTAAAAACAAAAGAGAAATTTACTTATGAAAAAACTATCAATAGAGCAGTTTTTATTTTTCTACATAATTCAAAGAAGTTACCTCGAATACTGATTTTTATTGTTCCTTTGACTGGTGTGGTTTCCGTATTGTTGTATACGATTAAGTCAATCATATAAGAAATACCTATACTACTTTGCTCTAAATAATTATTCACACGCAATTAACTGTACACATATAGTTTATGATGTTTCTACATAGTTTCACGATAAATTACCAACGTGAATTGCCAAAATAACGAATTTTTATTATTTATGCATGTATGTACTCGCGTGAAAATAGTTGTTTCGAACACATAAAAAGAGAAAGAAAAAAGAAATAGATAAATTTAAACCAGCACTTTTTAAACCCTAAATATAAACTAGCATATTATTTTACTTGAATAATTCCTTTCGAGGCGAAGCTACATGCAACTTATCTTTCGTCATTGCGATCAAAGAAATAATTTGTTCAATGGGTTGAGTTCAATGTGACACGTGATTTGCGGTAAAATCGTTATTTTTTCAATTTCTTATGTCTGCGCGACATTGATTTTAATATGAAAAATCCTTACAACAAAAAAATGTGAAAGTAACAATGAAAAAGATAATATAATACGATAGGGGAGCATTAGGTTGACTGTATATATCTTGTATATTTTTGTTAACACAAAAAGCAAGTATGTACCTACGTATACGCGTTGAGAAAAGTCTGTTTGAAAAGCTTATCCGTAAGCTCTGCAGTATCCGCCCGAAAATTACCTACCCACAATACTTATAATTTGAGCGTTCAAGAGATGTTGTCATCTCCTTCAAACTCAAAGTGTCACTGCACTGCCGTGGCGCAGTTCCTTCACCCCGAAAAATGTATTCGTAGCGCCCACTCGGTCATTCCATTCCATCAGCTATACAGTATATAATATAAATATATACTGCACACTCGTAGTAAGTACAATCTACAAGGTATGTGCAAACACGCGTGCCTTTACTCCCACTGTGCACGGATGGGAAAAGAAAAGAAAAGAAAAAAAAAAAAACAGTCAAATGCATCGTATTGGGAAACTTCATGTACCTATACTTATGTATATTGTATATGGGGGTACCATGGTGGTACAAAAAATCATAAGAACGATTGGCGCGACCTTTTAATTTTACCGCATACCTATAGTTAGCGGGTGAGCATTTTTATAACTATTTCTCCGTTGACTCTTCTTACAGCGAATTAAATTAACATATACGACTTGGGGCGGCGGCGAGGGGGAAGTCAAGAAAAGGAAAAAAAAAAAACCAGCGAAACTTACTGATTCGGCCGAGGAGGCTCCAGCAGAAGAGGAGAAGAACCTCGGGGATAACTTAAACGACAACAACCGTAGGGTAAAGATCAACGACATCAACGGTTCCGAAATGTCACCAAAATCTGAGTGTTGCAGTGGTGATGGTGGTCGTGCTGTTAAACCGAGCGAGCTTCCACTGCTACTCCCAGCCGACGACGGGGACAAGGTAGAGCCGCTTGGTCGTCAATCCTCTCGCGCGGAAATGCGTAACATTGCCCGTCAGCGTACGCGTTACTATTTTTTATTCCCTCAATTGGCACACATGATAACAACAATGACAACAGCAACAGTAGACTCTGAAAACCACACCCGCGAAAACGAGCTGGAAAATCGTAGGTATGTGTACTTGTACCCTTTTCTGCTCTCCTGTTCTGGCACACGGCTTAGTATATATACAGATAAACTCTGTACCTCGTGTATACCACATAGGATATACTTAGGTGTACCGACGTACGCGTTTCCAACACACATTGGGGGGCATAGCTATACGTGTATACATTATCTTATCCTCTTTGCTCCCGAGACGCTATAATTATCTTCTCCTCCGAGGACGGGGTGCACTCCCAGTACGCAAGCGTCGACCTGGAGCGTGAACCAGTACAGTTTGTTGTTTGCGCGCGCGCGTACCAGGGGTTGCCCGTGACGCATGTCGGCTGAGCTTTTAGGGGTTGATATACATTGGGGCGGAGGGGTAAACGACACGATGACGAAAGAGGGATCGCATTTTTCCCACTTGACGTCACCCTCGTTTTAAAAGTAAAAATTTTAGTAACAACTTTTCACAACGATTCATCCAAAATTAAAATAATTATAAATATAAATATATAGGCAAAGGGGATCCCGCAGGTTCATCGTGCCCCATCACACGCTTCTTGTACATTATATTGTGGGTACATACTCATCACTCCCCTCTTGGTCCTTTATTTATACGTAGTATCTACCCACATATTTATTCGAGGGGTTGCTGTACCTACAATATATTTTATACCTGATGTATATACATATACTACATCTTTTGCGTGCGTCGCTAGACAATGACTCATCTTCCCCGCGATTGTGACTCACCCGCTGCTTTTCAATAATATACTTGACCAAGTACTACTTGCTGCTATACATTTTTTATATATATATTTTTTTTCTCATGCTCATTTCGTAATCATATACAATGGATGATGCATCAATCGTTATCTATAAATACACCGTCTGACTGTTTACACAAAAATACAAAAAAACCACGTACTTTATGTACTTTGTTTTTCTTCGTACCATCATGGCCTTTTCCAAAATTTACTTTCGATTCCTGTCACATGTATGTATATGGTGCTTACATACACCACTATCGTCTTGAAACTTTTTGTGTTTACGTATTTCTGCTATACATATACACAGTTTTTGTTTTTTACTAAAAAAATATTTTGATTATTTTTGAAGAAAAAAGAAATCGTCCGGAAACTTTGTTCCCACGCGATGGATAAATAAAATGAAATATTAATTTAGTGATGACATGATTTTTAGCCCATAGTCTAACAGTAAATAAATGTCATGTTGGTAGAAATTGATGAAACTGTTATGACCGGACTTGTTTAGAGTATACAAGTCTGGTTATAACAAGATACAAAACGAAACTAAAATGCAGTTGTTTTTTTTTTTTAATTTGTGCGTTGCATATTATATAGGTGAAAAAGGGCTTTAAAAAAGTAGTAAGTTTTTTTTTTTTTTTTTTCCAATGCAAGTTTCGAAGGAATGACCCGTGTGTATGTACTTAAAACGCTAAACGTGAGGCCTCTCTATCTCTCACGAGAGCACTCCCAGCAGTTCAGTCAGTATAATGAAGCCTATACCAACAGTAATAGAAACCATATTAAATAATCAAGGCACGTGCGCGCCCTCGACCTGCATATAAGTACATGGGTGCAGGAGATATTGAGGAGGAGAAAAAAAAACATTCTCAAACCAGTGGGAGGCTTGTAAAATCCAAGTAGGAGGGTTTCCAGCGTGTGCAATAAACGATAAACGAAAAAATGATCGATACTTGTGGAAAAAAAAAAAAAAAATTTAATCATGATGAAAATTAATTCCACCGAGTCGTTTGTGTGCCGTCCAGAATACGTTGGATGTGGAGTTAAATGCGCTGAGTTGAACAAAAATAGGTGGCTCAGAACTCGTGATTTATATGCACGCCCACGCACATCCTAGCTCTTTATATGTACATGTACACGCCGTCTCGTTTTAACAAGCTTTCAAAGCTGGTGCCCGACCGACACCAAAGACGCGACCACAGCTGCAAATCATTTTTTAATTCTGCTCGACTCACTCAAAACTACGTGAGGTACCGTAACATTTCCGTTGAACAATTCCATATGATATGTATATGGACATATTCAAATATTTAAAAATGATTACTATCACCAAGTTTTAGTCAACGGATGTTTGGAAGGAAGTTTTTTTCAAGTTAATATTTTTTTTTCGTACGTCATTGTTTCTTTGCACTGCGAATCATTTTTTTTATGCTAATTTTAAAGACTGATGATATCGTTCATCTTACTTACTAATCTCTATAAGGGGCTATGTAGTAAAATTTTGATTTTCGAACACCTCTTTTTCGTGAACTCTATCGAATTGTGAGTATGTACACCTGAAAAAAATTTTTTTTTAATTGCTCAATATTATGTTGGTAACGAGAACGACGGTGATCTACAAGTAATCTGTATATAAGAATCGTCCAATACCTTATTCGGTAATATGATATAAAATGTATTATTGATCATTCAGTCTGTAACTACCTCTCTCTTAAAAAAAAAATCATTGAAGGAAAGCCGATTGTCTCTTATTTATTGCCTCGAGAAATTTTATCTTTTTTGTGTTTTTTAACTTTGGCGAATTTTCTGTGCTCCGGCCTTCGGCTACAGTGTACTTTGACCAATTTCGTTAAATCAACATAAAAAAATATTCAAACGAAATGTGTGAATTACTCTCAGCCTTGGTATTCTGTAACTTTTAACGCGATTCCTTATACACGTAAACGTAACATCGGTTAGATGTAAAAATCGGTTGACAGGTGTTGTTTTTTTTGTGCACTCAACGCGCGAGCTTACGCATCGACTGAAATTTCAACCGGAGCAAGCATTGTTTTTTTTTTTTTTTTTTGCATTCTGATTAATCACAAAATTAAAACATTCATCGTAATAAAAAAAAACTTGTTCTCAATCATCTTTTTCCTGCAGGCTTTACCAAAGATCGATCAACCGATCGTTGCGTTTTTTTCTTTCTTCTAAATCACGGCTCTACTTAGGAATACAATTATTATCATTATGATTATTGTTAACCTTTTGAATAAAATTGTATTGTCACCTGCACTAGAAGCACCCCAAATACGCTTCCTGGGCAAAGGGACGACGATGACACTCTACTTTTGTGTTACCACATTGAAATACTTGCACGACACGCTATAGCAAAAATCCGCGGACAAGAACATTAGGTGATGGTGAATGAGATCGCGTGTCGGCTAATATCTACCGTAGTCCGCGGCAAACTGACAGGCCAGATGGGAATTGGGGAGGACCAAGGCTTGAGGAAGCAAAAGCAGCTGTCCGCTCGACCTCCCTTCCCTTTATTCTTTCCCCGCACTCTCTCTCTCTCTATAGGCTTTTTCTCCTTCCAGCAGATATCTATAAGTATAATATGCTTTTTCTCCTTTGAGTCAACAGAAAAATCTCTTCGTACTTATACTTGAGTTGAAGAAGAAACCATCGAGAACATCTGCTCCCTCTCTCCACGCGCAAGCATTGTGCTTTGGTACTGCACTGATGTTGTACCATAGAAATCGAGAATGGCACATGCAGGTGTCAAAAATAGAACCGATCCATGCAACTGCGGTATACACTAAACTCACTTGTATTTCGAAATGTTCATTTAAAACTTGAAATTTTTTTTCCAATTTAAATAAATTGTAACAATTATAGCAAATAAATAAACTATGTATTGAAAAAAAAAAAAAAAAAAAAAAAAAAAAAAAAAAAAAAAAAAAAAAAAATTGCACAATTCCAGCTGCCTTTCAACGTACGATCGCAGCCAATCACTGCACTCTCTTTTTGATTTTAATAGTGCAAAACCACTCATTTTAATTTGATATTCTTTTATTCAAAAGGTATAAATTGAATCATGGCGAATCAGTTAACAGTCACTGTTTCATTTGACGAATGGTCAAATTTCTCCTTCGATCGGTCGAACCATGCCATTTGCAGCGAAAATGGCGTTTATTGTGATTTTTGAGCCATTAGTATCGTAAAATTGAAAATAAATGTAAATTTATTTTTGCACTATTTGCAAAACTGATCACATGTGAAGCTGTACAAGCACGTTTTGTCCTTATCTGCCCATATTGAAGTACTTACCTGTTCACAACATCTCTTCTTTTCTCTTGCACTGTAGAGAAAGACCAAGGAGAGATAAAAAAATGATTTTTTTTTTGCATGTTTCAGGTACCCATCGAGAGTTTTTGTGGGCGACACGTTCTGTTACTTTTCCGGAATGACATTCGCTGTGGTCGGCATAATTGGTCACTTTGGCAAAACAACACTCCTCTTCTTTATCCCCCAAATACTCAACTTTCTGTACAGCGTACCCCAGCTCTTTCGTCTCGTTCCCTGTCCAAGGCATCGGCTTCCAAAGTCAGTATCTCCCCCTTTTTTTACAACTGTTTATTTTTTTATTTTCGGGACTTTTTATAACCATTTAATATTGAAATTTTTTCAACAGATATGACCCCGAAACAGATCAGTTGAATCCCAGCGTGACGGTTTTCAAAAAAAGTGAATTGAATATTTTAGGTAACGACTTATTTTTTTTCTTTAATTAATCGACCGAAGTAGTATTTTATACATAATTCATTCAACATTAATATTTGATTTTTAAATACTCAACAGCAAAATTCGTCATGTGGATATTTCGAACTTCCAAGCTCGTCGATTGGAAAGAAGATGACCGGGGCGTGGTCACTTGTAATAATTTAACAATCATCAACTTTGTGCTGTTGTATGCTGGTCCTCTAAGGGAAGAAGCCTTAACTACCATGTTAATTCTCATACAGGTAATTTGAAAAAAATATTTGTATGTTAATTTTTTTATAAAAAATTTTTTTTTAATTTCAGGTAGCAGGAACATTACTAGCCTTTGTCATAAGATACCCATTGGCTTCTTTATTTTACGATACTTAAAATGCTTGTATAAAAATACAAGTTTGAGACCAAGTCTCCATACATATGTTACAGTAACATTCATCAGTTGACTTGAACAAGAGCAGATGAAGTTCATTGCCGCTTAAAACTAGATACAAGAACGGGGCAAAAACTTATGTGATTTTAGATATAGATTAACACATAACTATTTTTATATGCATTTAAACAAATGCTTATGATTTCTCAAGACTTATGTACAAAGCACTGGATGACAGTGCAGTAATATTAGTATAAACAATAACAATAGATTTTCCCCAAAGTGAAATTACATACACAACTACAATAACAGTTGATGAAGAACCAATTATTTAAAATTTAATTAAAAAATCATCCGTGTTAAAATTGTACAGCGTACTTGCGCAAACACAGCTTAAATGAACCGAACTTAATAATTATTATACTACAATTAAATAACAGTGTTATTTGAAACGCACTTTTTCCAAGTTTCAACATACGACATTCTAACTGCACTTCAACAGATCGCAAGCGCAATAAAATACGATTTTGCTTTTCAGGTATGTCAAGTGCTTGTTCATCGACTAGCTTAATGATAAACTTGTTAAAAAAAAATTCTATTTGTGTTGAATGATTTTCAAACTTTTTCATCCGACTGATATTTCAATTATTAACTTCATCCCAATTTTATGAGTTAGAGTCGTTGAATAAAAATATTTTAATAAAATACATTTTACTTATTGTAATGTTCAAACTTGAGAGTTTTATAAATTTCGTCATAGGGAAGCTATTTTGATTAAAATATTTTTAATAAATTGGTAGGTATAATGTAATCTTAAGTTAAATGTAGATATTGTTATGAAATAATTTGACAGTAAGGCCTAAACTTATCTCACAAAAAATATGACATAGGTAAATCATTTCATATTTTTTCGATGATATTCAGCAACTGATACTGCTATTATTCTTAATAAATACATTGATTAAATCAGTTTCATCAAAAAAAATTATTAATAAAAGATCCATTAACTTAAATGGATTTCAATCAAATTTTCACAATCAGTCTACGGATCTTTGCAGTCCAACAAACCTTCATATTTGAAATAGTGTGACAGATTTTTGAGATGGAAAAAAATTTTACGCCATAAAACCCCTTGTATCCAAAGTCGACTTCAAATCAACTCCGAGTCTCAAGCCTACCGAAAGTTGGGCCTTCGATGCGTCTCGCAAACTGAAAAGGTGCGACAATTCCATATTAGTGCGTCCCAGGGCCAATGCTTTTTCAAATAACTCAATCGCGTATTCCAAGTTTCCTCTGTAAAAATACAAAATATTGATAAAAGTTTTTGTTTCCAAATGTTTATGCAGTTTTTAAAGGTGTACGTTTTTCATGATTTTTTTTTTTTTTTTTTCAACAAGTGGTAGTCAATTACGTATTTTCTTTCGATGGCATATTTTCGTTAATTGTTTAAGCAGGTCACATGTGTGTCTCAAAAAACAAATAAAAAAAAAAATTTCGCATACCTTTGAACTTCAATGGTACCCAAAGTTTCATAAGCGAATTCACATTTATCATCAATTTCTATTGCTTTCTTAATGAGATTTATAGCTAAATTGAAATCGTTCTTCCATTGTAAATGTAATAATCCTCTTTGTACAAGAATGGTTGCATTCTTCGGATCTTTATTTGCAGCTTTTTCAAAGTACATATCGGCTTTCGGAAAGTCATTTGTATCTGCCAATACCTACGTGAAAAATACAATTCAGATGAAAAATATGTTTAGTCTTGGCAAGATTAAGCTCAGAATTTTTGAGGTAATTACCTGTGCATACAAATTAAAGCATTCAGCACAATCGGGGAATTTCGTGCATGCATTGTTGAAATTTTCAATCGATTCTTGTATCATGTTTATATCTCTTAGCGTGACAGAATTACGATAATCTGTGTAACATTTTTGAACAAACGCCACCCCAAAGTCTGGATTGAGCTCCACAGCTTTATCAAAGTCAGCTTTGGCTTCTTCTATTTTTTCTGATAACAAGTTCACCTGAAATAATTGAACAACAGCGTTATTCACATCGATACTATCGGTAAAAACAAACGAAAGAGGTATCGATTATGTACCTGTCCTCTATTATGGTAGATATCACTGCAGTCAGGGTCAAGCTCGACAGCCTGGGCAAAATCGTCGAAACTCTTTTCCGGCTGTTCAAGCTGTACGTGCATACTTGCGCGTTTAATCAAAGCGTTGACTTTTAATTCTTTACTGGTAACATCGCTATTTATTACACTACTAAGATCAGACAAGGCATCTTCATACATGCCCAACAATAGATTGAAAGTACCTCTCAGCAGAAGTATTTTCAACTTATGTATTGAATCATTTTCCGCCTCAAGGTTGTTTAAAGCCTTGGTGCAAAGTGGTATTACATCATCGTAATTTTGATTCTTTACAGCCTTCAGAGCCTCTTCATATGACCTATAAGAAGAGGAATCTAATTTAGTTGCCTTATTTAAAATATTTAAATTTAAATCATATTTCACGATTAATAAGCTTTACTAATTTACAATTAGAATAACTTACGTTAAGTCTTCTTTATTAGATTGCTCATTTATTGCTGATGTTATAGGGTCATGCTGAAAGGCTGAGAAATACGTTCTGATAAAGTACTTGCTAGGCATCACTGGCTTTCTTGTTTTTACATATTCCTCTGTGTGCTTTGCACCTGTAAGAATTTATAATTTCACTCAGACAATTTTTGTTTTTGAAATTCAATGAAAAAAATAAATGCAGATTATTAATGTACCTAACGCTCTCAAAATTTTATCCGCCATGCCAACTGTAGTTGGGTTTCCAAATCTTTCAAGTATACAGGCAGCAGAAATATCTTCTAAAGCAGTTACTAGATCATCAAAATGTTCCAAGGCCTTTGCTCTACGAACTAAAGCTTTTACATATTTGGGCTTCAGTTCGAGAGCTTTGTTACAGTCTGCTTTAACTGAGCTATATTTTTGCTGAAAGGAAATAAATTATTTTCATAAATAAGAACAACGCACACAATTAGTGTATTATCAACTAAATATATGGATATTTACTAATTTTTCATAAGCAGCTGCTCTGTTTTGGTAATATGTTGCAAGTTCTTCTATACATTCTGGTGGACATGCTTCTATGGCCTGATTGTACTGTTCAATGGCTTCATCAAATTTACCTGACTGAAATAACTTGTTCCCTTCTGTCTTAAACACATCAGACCGAGCGGTGGGCTTCTAAAAAAAAAAAAAAAAGTATAAAAACATTAATAAGTGTTATATAATAATCATATTTATTAGCTTTCTAATATTTTACACATCTAAAGGTATACATATATAGGCATTGGTAAAATTATGTTTGAACAAATTGTCGTAAGTATATGCTCTAATTGCATGAAAATCAAGTGTTTAACAATATTTTTATTATAAACCAACTTTGAGTTTACACGATACAAATAAACGTTTAATAATTAATAAAAGTCGTACGTTAATAAGAATAAAGTACTTGATTATCATAAAAATGATGAAATAGGGATGTAGAAAGGTATTGAAACTAAGAGAGCATGCTTCTAACCTCGGCAACCGTAGGTTTGGCGATGCTCGAGCTCTTCTCGTCGTCCCCATCTACTGAGCTAGAAAACACGTTATTCCGCTTGAGGGCTTTAGCGTGTTCCTCGTCTTTTGGCTTGTCGTTCACGTAGTTCCTGTAGCAGAGGTAGCCTAGACCGAAAGCTACCGGTGCCCCAACCACCAGAGCTAGCTGCCACTTGGACAACGAGCTTGAGTTTCCAGTGTAAGATGACATTATTCAATTTTTTTCCTCCTTACGCTAACTCTAAACTTCGGTGAATTGTTTTTACTTCTTCCATGCAAGACAACGTGCAACCGGTACAATTACCTACCAGTACCTACTTACAACGTTTTTTGGTTACTCGTGGCCTGTGTATGCACACTGTCTAATTGTCTTATTTGTGTAGCAACTCTAGAGACTTAGAGAGTGAGTTAATCTATATCCCTGGCCTGTGACTATCGCAGAGATGCAGAGTGTTATAACCGGCTTCGTTTTAAGCTTACTATGGGACATATTATATTCAGCGGTAACAGCAATGGTAACCTGATAACGATATCTTGCACATATGCTGATGCTGCTGCATATCAAATCTTCAGAATGTACCTATATATCAACCTATGCCGAGTTGGTACGCGTACGCCCCATTCAAGATGGGTCGATGGGTGACGGCACACAGCAGGTTCATTTAAACCCCTTTTCGGTTCGGTCCGGTTCTCATGGCAAAGTATACCTATATATAGCGAACCAAATTAGATTTGTTCAAGCTCTCATCTTCAAGAACCGGACCGAACCAAAAGGGGTTTGATTGGTTTGAACGAACCTACTAAGAGAACCAGGCTGAACCAAAAGAGGGGTTTGAACCGTTCGAACTTTGAACAAATCTAGTGGATCGAATGCTAGGTATAAGCTGGAAATAAATTTTTTATTATTCTTACTTTTTTTTTCTCTGATATTTTTAACTGATAAGCAATTATAAGAATGTAAGATGATGACATTGTTAGCGAGAATAGTGACAAAAAAAAAAATAAATAAATAATGTTTATCTGCAATCAGCTCACTATTAAGTAGTTTATAATTATGTACAGCGTGTAAAATATATCAAAAGAGTGTGCTGATTGGTGTAGTGCGAGCTGTCATCGTGTGTAACAAGTAACAACGACTTGATGTTGACGAGTATGTGACATACGTGAGTGTAGGTATATAGAAGAATGAAATAAGTGTTTACAATAATAAGGTTATTGCAATCGTGATCGATCACATCATCCTCTCTCGTAAACGTTAAGTATGTCGTCGTCTAGTAAAAAATTTACCGTGTAAAAGCCATTTGTCGCTTGTGATGTAGCACAGCTGTTAAGTTTCAAGGATCGTAGCAAGAGGTGTCAACTAAAGGAAATGTCTCTAAAGGACGATGAAAGCACTTGGTAAATGTTTTTTTACACACCCGTATGTATATATATATATATTAACATTGTTATTATTTTGGAGTCCTCCTTTCTGTACGTCAACTGTTTCATATACTTTTGATGCAAGAGTTGTTTTCAAAGTTATTTATTAGAATTTGGTGATAAGTATACCTGTATTCGAGTTTACTGTAATGTCGTAAACATGGTTTTGAATGATTTTTTGATTTCCAAATTGTAACCTCATATGCATGAAAATCTGTCCTTTCAGTGGTGTCTACTTTGTTTAACTGAGTAACTCTCTAGACTACTTCCTGTTGATCTTTCATTAAAATGGATGTGCTAATTAGTGTTAAACTGCTAATTCCATCACACATAAAAAAAAAAAAAAAACTTTGTAGCTTCGGTAAACAGATTTGAAAAGTGGAGCAAACTTTTCTTTACGATTTTTTTACCGATATGTCAATTTACAATGTTTCTTTCTTTTTATTCAACTTAATAATCTACTGTTACGTTTACATTATATAATACAACTTTAAATTAAATTTAACTTTTAAAAACTCGGTCTTTGGTTTGTAATATGAAGGTCTCAGTTGAATCTTATGAATATTTTTTTGTAGGATCTTGGAGTTAGAGGCAGCCCTCTTGGATGCAGAAGCACCTTCTGCATCTGATATATACGCAATTTGCAAAGGTCAGCCAGTGCCAGCTAATCTGAAGCCAGACGTTTGGCAAGCTTGTTTGGATGTCACTGACAGAGGGAACCAGCTAATACACTTCAATGAAGTTTTTGATCTTCCAGAGCAAAATACCATCAGAAATGATTGTCAACAATTAGTTAGTTAGTGCCATACTTTAATTATTTATTAGATGCTTCTTTTGTTTTCCTATGAATTCAAAATTTCGTTTTTACGTCAAGATACTAAATTTAACCATGTAAGCTGTAAAATTGAATGACTCACGACAAAAGCATTTTTACAGATAAGCTAGGAAATGACGATGAAGATAAAGTATCGGTTGTTTCTGACTTGGAATCCATCATAACTTTTTATTGTAAGAATAGAGGAAAAAGATATGAAAAAGGAAACGGTTGGCTCGAATTATTGGGCCCTTTGATAGCTCTAAAGTTGCCTAGATCAGCAACATATAATTTATTTGAAGCCATCAGAGACATTTATATTCCAAGGTGGGATTATTTATTTAGCAAAGTATGCAGTGTTAGAAAATAATACGTTCTCAAAAAATAGTTATGGAATTTTTTTTTTTTTTTTAATTACAGAGGTGACACACATAGTGCTGTATTGAGGCTACTGCTGCTTTATCATGAGCCAGAATTATGTTCTTTCTTGGATACAAAAAGAGTTTCGCCAGATCAGTATACAAAAGGATGGATAAACACTTTGTTTGCTGGAGTCTGCTCCTTGCCAGCCATTTCAACCATGTGGGACTTGTATTTCATGCAGGCGGATCCATTTTTCATGATGTTTCTGTCGCTAATAATGGTCATAAATGCAAGGTGAGATTTTCCAAGGTAATGTTAATAACATACAAGTAGATAATTTTATCAAGTAGAGTTTGTTTAAATGCTGCATGTCATTGTTATTACGGAGAATAATGAGTATACAAGCTTTAACTGAATATATTTTTCGATTAAATCTAACGTGTCGACACCCTATTTCGTTAAACTACCAGTTCTCTTTCAACTTGAAGTAAAAACGATCGATTCAGGGTTTTTCCGATTCATTTTCTTCTCTGAATTTCGTAGTATGTTCTGATCCTTTGGCAGTATGCACCGATTTCAAAGTGTGCATCGATTCTTTGGAACCGAGTCTACGAAGCGAACCCGCTGCAGACGAACCTTCGGCCTTTTCTTCGTCCTTAGTCGAGGACGCCTTGCTACCGCTCTTTTTGACCATCTTCACCGTTTTCGAGAAATCAAAGACAAATTTTATTTCTTGAACGAACGCCTCGGTCTTTGTAATCTTCTCCTCGATAGCCGTGTCGATGATATGTCCGTAGAACTCTCCCATGGCAAAGAGAATGGATATAAAACAGCCGAGTATCAAAATGAGGAAGACACCGCCGACGTTCGACATTCCGAGTTCGTTCGAGTTTTCCGGCTCATCCGATTCCTCGTCGCACTTGCCTCCACCTTTTTCCTTCCACCACTTTTGCTTCAGAGTATTAAGCTCACCTTTTTCTTGGAGATGCAGTATGGCCGTGCTGATCATCGTTCGATACGGAGAATTCGGGGGCATGGCTATGCCGTAGCCCTTGTTGTCGAGGAGGGTACCGACCTGCTGGAGTTCACAATGCCTCTCTATTTGATACTCGATGGTGGTGGATTCCATAAAAAAGGCATACTTTCTTTTTCCTTTGATCACTCGCTCGACACCCTCGTCGTTTGTCTTGGTAAACACCGAGGGCTTGGTGTCACTCATTGTGTTGAAGAGGCGCTGATACAGCGAGGTGTTGGAATTCTTGAAGAACGAGTAGGTTGCCCCGCCCTTGAGCGACCCGTAGGCGATTTTTGTCTGTTTGGCCAGATCCTCGACGTTGTCGATGGTCTCGTCCATCTTGACGGCCGTGAGAAAGGCAGCCAAATTGGCAGTGTAGCTCGAAACCATGATGAGAATGAAGAAATACCAAATGCCGGCGAGCAGCCGAACCGAGGCAGCCCTGGGCAGTATGTCGCTGCCCTGCTGCATGAGCGAGCCCATGGTGAACCAAAGACAATTGACCAGAGTAAAGTTGTTCTCGAGCTCCTCCGGCTCCTCGTTGCACGGATGAGGATTGATCCACTCGCCGGGGGCTATTCTCGCCTGGAGGAAAAGCATGAGCGAGACCATCAGGTAAGCTGTCGCCATGTACATCCAGACCTCGGGCGAGAGCGGCGACATGAAAGAGAAGAGCGCGGGCACGACCTTCTCGGCTTTGCTGAAGAGGATGCTGATGCCGAGGTTCATGAAGGGCGCGGTAAAGTCGACCGCGCTCTGGCGCTCGGACGTGATCGTCAAGTCGCAAATGGCCATGTCCGCCTTGAGCTCGAGCAAGCGTTTTATCAAGCCGTTCCATTGGCCGGTCACCGGATTCTTCGAGCCATAATTCCCATCCGGCACGAGCTCGAACTCGCACTTTATACCCAGGAACTCCTCGATTTTCGCGATGAGGTCGATGCAGTAGCCCTCGTACTTTTTGTCACCGATCGTTCTTCCACCCCGCCCGCTGCTACCCTCGTCGTCCTCGAGGAGGGTCACGTAGGGCGAGCCGACCCGCGTCGTCACCTTGAACGTCTTGCTCTTGGCCGCGACGGTCAGGGTATTGTTCATCTCCTGCTCGTTCCTGTTGATCCTCAAACTGTCGCCCGTCCACTCGCCGATCTTGGTCCGCTTGCCGGCTTGCACGTTGATCAGATCCAATTCGAAGGCTCGCTCGAGACCGGCGCCATCGGGCCTCTCAACGAAACTCATCAAGCCGGTCTTACGGCCGTACTTGGTCTTCCGCAACACCGTCGAGGTGATGTTGGGCCCGATCTCGTAAAGTTCCGGTGTATCCGCCCAGCAGTTCCTCGTCGACGACTCGAATCTTAACGGAGCCGACTGTTCATCCTCGGTGGCGCCCATCCTGTTGTACTGGTCCTCCCGGTGTAGGCTCGTCACGGCGTCGGCAAACGCGAATACCGAGTCGTAGAGCAGCGCGGCCTCGACCGAGAACCCCTCGGAGCTCGCCAGCTCGTCCTTGGGAAACTTGAACTGGGTGATGTTGGCCACCGAGTCCTTGGATATAAAGTCCCGGAGATCGACGGACGAGGACTCGATGTTGACGAGCAGACACATGAAGTAGTCGCCCATCAGGCCCATCGAGCTCATGGTCTGCAGGAGCTTGGGGAGATTTTCGTTTTCTACGTCGAGCAGGATGCTGTTGAGGTTGAGCTTGTGTATGCTCTTGACCAGGCCCTCGTAGACCATGTTGACCTCGTGCTCCGTCTTGAGCTGACGGATCCGCCTGAGCTGCATCAGTTCCCTCAAGTTGATGGGATAGTTTTTCGGCCGGCCTCGGTTCTCGAGGGCTATCTGGATGCGGGCCAGGGCGTCGTACGATTGAAAAACAAAGGTGTAGGATTGCCAGGTCATGATGCGCGCTGCCTCGGCTATGGCGCGCTCGTAGCCGCCGTTGCCCGGGTAGACGTTCACGCTGTTCTGGGAGACGATCGGGTCGTCCTTTGGCCGAAAGGTGTACTCAAAGTGAGGTATGCCGAACTTGCCGGCTATGCTCGAGGCGACGCTGCGCGTCTCAATGGGCCTCGGGCCGAAGATAGCGGCGACCGGCTCCTCGGAGAGGAGCTTGCAGATCAATTTCATCGACTTGTAACCATCCACCTCGACATTCTTCAGCTTGATTCCCTCGAGTCGAAAGAAACCCGGTTGTTCCTCGGCGAGGTCGCTCAGCGCTTGATCGAACGCGCGCTCGAGCTCATCCTCACCCTCGTGAAATATCGCCGCCACCTTGATCGTTTGCAAGGCGCTCGTCATCGTTACCAGCTGTCCCCCGAGCAACCACAACCAAAGCATCCTCGTTATTGTTACCGAGCCGATCTGCTGCACTGACATCCTCCTAGTTTTCAACACGACTGATGATTATGATTACCTTTTTTTTTTTTTTTATCATCACCCGAGCCAAGTTCGCTTTGCACACTCGTTCGTTCACCTTTACTCGACGTTTTCTTAATTTTTGTTCAACATCTAATCGAGCTCTTATAATTGGGGGCCAAATGGTTTTGTTTTTCATTTCTTTTTCTTCGTGCACATTTTTTCAGCTCAAAAACATTGAGTAATAATAATGGTCAGCGAAAGAGAAACGATAAACTTTTCACGTAATTTCACTGCAATCGAGTAAAAGTACCGTGTCCCGTGTACCGCACGTTCGTGTGCACTTTTAGATTAAATGGCTTAAAAATAGAACATACCCTCGGTAGAAGCGCCCAGTGCACACTTGTGCAAGCAGATTTATTGGCCCTTTTTTGCGCCGAACGGTATGTATATATATATATATGCATAATTATGTATCACTCACTCGGGCGGGCCTTTTGAACATTCAAGCTCCTCAACTTACTGATGCAACAAATAGGTACTTTTTGATACTGTTGGGAACACTTTATTTGCTTTTTTTCTTTTTCAGAGAACAAATTCTAAGTATGAAAGACGAAGAAAAACGAACGATCGTCGACGCTCTTGCCGCTATGCCCTGTGCTCTGGAAGCCGAGGACGTCACGGATTTTTGCTCGCTTGCTCAGTACTACTCCATGAAGACGCCCTCGTCGTTCAAAGTCGACCTCTACGGGATAATGTTCGGCGAGGGTGGGGACGAAAAATTCATCACTCACGCTCTGTGCCTACCCGTGTCCGCCCAAGAGCTTATTGAAAATACATCCGAGGTCTCGGAGTACTTGACCGGAGGTGCGCCGCCTGTCGAGGCTGTTAGGTTCTTCCTGGTCGATTGTAGGCCGGCTGAACAGTACAACGCTGGACACCTCAAGACCGCCTTCCACCTAGACTGCAATCTTGTAAGTTTTTTTTTTTTTTTTTTTTTTCATTTCTTTTCAAAATAAGTCAAGTGTCGTTGTTGCTGTGTATAGATGCTGCAAGAGCCAGCAGCATTCGCGACTGCGGTACAAGGACTGTGGCAAGCTCAGCGTCAGGCAATAGCCGCGGGATCAGAGGCAGGTGGTGAACATTTATGCTTTTTGGGCAGTGGACGGCAAGAGGAGGATCGCTATCTTCACATGGTTGTTGCATCCTTCTTGCAGAAACACACTCAGTATGTCAGTATGGTGGTTGGTGGATACCAAGGTGATACTTGGGCTATAAATTTTCGATGTGTTTGAAAAACTATTATTGTACTAATTGCTTTTATTTTTTGCTTTTGGCAGCTGTTCACGAATATTTCGGCGACGAAGTAGTTAATTTAGTAGATCACAATTCTCAGTACTGCTTGGTATGTAATACAAGTTTATTGGAAGGCGATCCCAGTGATGCAAGTCCAGCTCAAATGAAGAACAGTAATTCGGATCTTTTAGGAAAAATTGGTCAAGCCATGAAACTGAAAAGTCAAGAAATGAAGGGTAAACTGTTTGACTACATCGTCAATCCGGCAGTGAACACAAATAACAGTGCGGAAAAGACGAACGACAAAAATGCAGATACAAGCAGAGGCGAATCGAGTGCTCGGCCTGTCTTTAGCATAGATGATGACCAAGATTCCGGTAGATTTTTCAAAAAATTAATTTAATAATAAAATTGTAGAAAAAGTCATCTTTTCTAAAAATAATACTGGCTTTCAGATATGACGATGGCATTAACTCAGAGTGAAGAGCCGATCGAAGTAGTTTCTATTCAACAGTGGTTGAAAGATCCAAACTTAGTTCATTCCTTCAAGTGTATGGAAGTCAAAGTAAATGGATACGTGTATGAAAGGTAAATGTAATGACTTTATAGCTTTAGCTAATATGAACAAAGTATTAAATTTCAATTGTTTTTCTAGTCATCTTTTAGTCACCGATACCCACATCATTGTTCTTCGTGAAATCCAGGGTCGAAAGGGAGCAGCACACGTAATAGTGAAACGTCCCCTATCAAGTATAGTCAGAATAACATCCAGAAAAAAACATCCAGATTTAATTACGTTTAAATACGGTTCAACGCAGTCCGATAGTGTAGTTATTTCTGACATGGACAGATTTCTCATACCCAATGCAAGTGAAGCTACAAAGCTAATCTCCCAACAAATAATGAAACAAATGAAGTCATTGGAATAGTGAATTGAAGTATAGCGAATCATGTATATAGACATCGTGTACAGTGATTAATCAATTAATACACAAAATATTTTATCCACTACAATTAAAAGATTTTTGTATGATAAATTACTAATGTCCAATCAAGCAAGTATGATTCTTTTCGTCTAATATATTAACATTGTTATTATTTTGGAGTCCTCCTTTCTGTACGTCAACTGTTTCATATACTTTTGATGCAAGAGTTGTTTTCAAAGTTATTTATTAGAATTTGGTGATAAGTATACCTGTATTCGAGTTTACTGTAATGTCGTAAACATGGTTTTGAATGATTTTTTGATNGCACTGTAAAGCACACTTTCTATCAATTTATTCCCTTGTTATTACAGTAGTTAAATATTTTTTAACTTCTTCCAGTTGTATTGCGTATATGGGAGATTTCTAAAATTATTGCCAATTAAAACTATTAAAATATTATAAATTGCATTTTTATAAAATTATAAATGATGTAGCTTCAGGTTTTGACAAATCATAAAACTTTATATCAAATTTGCAATTCCCATTCCCACACTGAATAGGGTAACGCAGATTATGCAGCCAGTTTAATTTATTATAGTTTTGTGTCGCGAAAAGTGTATTTTTCTTCTTGGCATATATTTTAGAGAAGAGAGGACACGTATCTGTTACGCGAGTTCGCGACGCGATTCAAAAATTTTAATTGGAATTTTCCAAAACTTAAATCGCGTTGCGTCATATGGAACATGTCCAATAAATATTATGCCGGTATGTGACTTATTGGCTTATCATTAGCAAACTTAAAAGTTATAGTTTTTTTTTTTTTTTCATTCATCATCGCCCGTAGGCTCAGACATGGCATTTTTTTACACAAGCATAGTGTTAATTAGCCACCGGTGCACCTGAGTTATGACATGACCAGATGTTTATATACATATACATACATAAACATCTGGACCAACTCAGTCACACCTATGATCACGTATACGAAGCGTCAGAGAAACAGTTAATCGACCTCCGAGAATCAAGAGGACAGGCGAAACGGCGAGACTCGAATGGTGACCAAGCGGTCACCCAAAAAAAAAATAAAAAAAAGTTATAGATATCGTTTAAAATCGTTATGACCGTGTGCGTGTGCTAACAAATTTACAAATCGGATGGACAGAGTTCCACTGATACAGACCGGGTTCTCCACACTATATGGAACAACGGAACTCACGAACCCTTCTTGATACGTGTGACATCTGCATTGCCTACAACTCATTACAACTCTTACAAGATATGGTATATTACTATAGTATTACTACTAAGTTTGTATTGATGTATGTATGTAATGTGATGATGCGTAATCTTTTTGATTGACGTTTCTGAATTTTCTGTTGCAACTTTCACGCCAGCAAAATTTTCCTGTAGAAAAATAATGTTATAAAGTATCTGTATCTACGTTATGTTATCTCATGTCTAAATTTTTCTGAAAATCGTAACCTTACATCCATGTGACAACGTAGTGCGAACTGACGCAGCACAAAAAACTATAACTACCACGGAAAAGTATAAAAATGTATGCGCTTCTTATATCCTATTTACCACGAGTTGCATGATTTTTTTACACTGTAAATTTTAAAATCGGTTTATGCGTAATGGTAGTAATGCCTACTCATAAGTACCTGCAACATTATATACGTGTATCTTAAAAAGAAAAACAGTGCAGTCGACGTTTTTTTTCCTTGATCTACCCCACCTTATACCTTTCGACTTGACGACGTACTTACTCACTCGGCACAAACTCAGTGCCGGCAGCCAGCTGACCTCTCTTATAACTTTAATAAGCAGATCTTACCTTGATTATAAGTATTACATTACAGAAGAGAGGGACTAGCATCATGTCCGTTGTTCATACGCTGCTTGGCATTTCCCGGGGCAATTTTTGTCGTCTTTTCACTGACTCGCAGTTCCTCCAGTGCCTCGTCATCTTCCTCAGTCTTTTGAATTTATCGCAATGTCTTTATGAGGACCAGATTGGCAAGTTTGACTGGTGAGTACTTTATCTGTGCGCTCGTTTAACCTCTCATTTAGTGTGTGTAAACAGCTCTTTCATCGCGTTTATGCATATATTTGATCGGTTCAACTTTGTGATTCATTATCAACTAGGCAATTTTTAATCAAACTAATCCTGTATTTTGAAATATATTTGATCTAACTGTACGTACATATTTAATTTGAGTTTACAAAGCCTAGTTGCCAAAAGTAAGCTACCTGCTCATGTTTGTAAACTTTATTTTTTAACAAAATTGATACATCAAATGCATTCACGAAATTTTATATAAAAAACAATCTGCATACTTGCAAATAAAAAGCTCTTATTTACTTTTAGGAAACAAAACTATGTTGGCAAAGTCAAATATGCCAGTTTTGATTCTGTTTATGCTGCCAAAAAGATCATTGTTGTCACTGAAGAAAACGTTATTGCAGCCCTAAATATAAGGACGGGTCAAATATTATGGAGGAGATTATTTGAAAAAGGATATGCTGGACAAGTAAGAGCATTTGCAAATGTAGCAAATGGAGAATTTGTTTCGGTAAGTGGAAATGTGCCAGCAATCGTCCGTTATTGGAATTTAGCTACTGGACATATCCTGAATGAATGGATATTGGCCGAACGTAATCCAGATAGGTTGGTTGTTTAATTTCCAATTTTTCAATTGATTTAAAAATTGTATGTTTTACAACAATTAATTATTTCATTAAAATGAAATTTACATGTTTTGAACCAGTCTGAGCAAAAGTTGATCATTATAATAAATATTTAAATTATAAAATTGTTATTTCAGAATTGATACTCCATTTATAACATATTCAACAAAAGGGCTTTACAGTAGTGAAAGGTTTCACTTTTGTTATAACTTTTATGTTGTGCACTGTAAAGCACACTTTCTATCAATTTATTCCTACTTACTGCAAATTAGACTAAAAAATTATATCTAATGATTTATACACATATTTCACAATTCAATGTTGTGCTTAAAACTATTAGCAATGATTATAGCAAAAAAGCAATGATTCTCAAAAAAATTCACTTAAAAAAAAAAAAAAAATACACTGAATTAATAAATTGATGTAATTATGTAAATAAATCTTGATCAATTTATGAGCATTTTAATTTTTGCACAGGATAGAAGATGTAAAGTGGCACATAAGGGATGGAAAGCTGCATCATATATTACCAATTTATAATAGTGGCATTGAAGTAACTTCATACGATTGTAAAAGTGGAGAGAAATTAAACACTAGAAATATTTCTGTGCCATTTATTTCACAAGAAACAAAGTTAGTTAACAACACAATAAATTTATATGATCTTTTTTTATTGCTTTGTAATAAAGTTCACAAATTATAATATGATTTCAGGTGTCTGTTGGCAGCTTCATACTACATCTGCTTAGTAGGAAATACTGACCAAGCAAAGTTATCCTATGTAAATATTTTCGATTCAAAATCTCAGCCACAGTTAAAACCAATCAACGCAATATTCGACTCTCATGGACCGTACCATATTTCTCTTGTTCCTGGAAATGTAGCTGCAATAACAGTCAGTGCTGGTAATAGTCGTAAAAAGCGCATGATATTATTTGAGCAAGATCCTATTCCGATACCGCGAGATATTGAAGGCGAGAACTTTTTATATCTTACCACGTTGGATGGCAAAAAAGTTTTATTAGAAACATCTTACAATAATGGCGTGAGTTTCGTTGTAATTTAAATACAGGACAAGAATATTTGTATGTAATAATCATGATTAATTATTTCTAGGCAACAAGAATCACAGCCACTGAATTGAGCGCAAATGAAGCACAACCAGAAAAGATTGCCTATGTTACGAGCAATAGCCTATACATGCCAAAAATTGTAGCAAATGATTGCACTTACCAGACACTCAAGGCCAAGAACTGCAAGTTTTTGTTAGCATCAGAGGATCACAGCATCAGCTTGTTGCACCAAAAAGTAGTGTGGACTAGAGAAGAAGCGCTGGCCACAATTTCTGCTGTTGAAATCGTTGATTTGCCTATATCCGACCGTGAACAGGCTATTGAAAAGGAATTCGATCAAACTGAAAGTACGTATTTATCAGTCATTCGGAACTTCTCAATTTAATTTTATGAATACAAAATTTCGGTCTTAATAAAACGATGACTTTTCTCAATCTCGTTAACCAAACTCCTTTTTTTGAATGGCTGCTGTCAGATCTTGATGTAGACAGTTCATGTAAGTAATTAATTGTGGAAAAAATTAAGAGTTGAAAGTTTTATAGTGTATTGTAAGGCACGTAATTACTGGATACGTTCGATTTTATATTATTATAAAACTGAGCAGTTCCCATCGTTGTTATAAATTGCTTGCCTGAGCTTATTAGAATGAGCTCGTAAATTCTATTATTATAATCGTTTGACATTTAATTTAGAGCATGAATTTTAGGTGTTTCGAGTGTTTTGTAGTTTAAAGTAAATTATGCTTTTAGTTTAGTATTCAAGAGCTAGTGTTCTAATTGAATAACATCTTTTTTTTAAGTTTCTGATTGTGACATGACTAAATTATGAAAAATGAACCAACAAAGTTTTAATAATTCAATGAAAAATTTAGGGGACGTTTTTGGTATGCTCATTCGAAGACTGACATCCCAAGCTAACCAAATGAAAACATTTATCGAAAGTATTTTGGGCTTGGAACCACTGCAATCTAGTCAAAGGGCTGATTTGGTCCGTGACAAGTTCGGTCTGCATAAAATAATTGTTGCTGTTTCGAATGCTGGAAAAATATTCGGCATTGAAACAAAAAGAGGAGAAATAATTTGGCAGCTGAGAATTCCTAATATCCGTGGTTTTGACCTATGTACAAAGAATATAATATTGTACATCCAACGAGGCAGTAGACATTTTCCGCATCCTGCTTTTTGCTCGCTTATTGCCGCTGATAAGGTAATTAATTATGTATAAAAAATTTGTTAAATTTATCGATTCTTCCCTTTTATGAAGTAAAACTATTGGTAAACTTAATCTAAACATTGTAAAATGATGACACTTTACTTTTTAATCCAGGAAACCAATAACGGCGTAATATTTTCGTTCAATCCAATAAATGGCCAACCACTAAGTGATATTTCCAGATTAGGATATCGGATCAAGCAATCGCTTTTGCTCCACACGACAACGGATACTTATCTACGGCCGATCGTTCTTCTTGACTCTGACGATCGTGTACACGTTTATCCTGATATTGCAAACCCGATAGCCGAGAGCATTTTGAACAACTTGTACATATTCACAGTTAACAAAACAACAGGCGTGGTCACTGGCTACTCGTTGCAATTCGCGTCTGGCAATCATCATGCACATAAAGTGTGGGAACAAGTTTTCAATCCAAAAATTCAGCGGATAACGCATGTCGCCTCGAAAAATCCAATCGAACGGGTACACTCGCAAGGTCGTGTGTTGAGTGATAGATCGGTTTTGTACAAGTACATAAATCCAAATTTGGTAGTAATTGTAACGCAAGGAATCAGTGCTGCTCACAAGGGTCAATATTTTTCTTATAGGATTATAATCACACTACATTCAGTACCACAAATTTATTTGTTTACTTATTCATCTGCTGCAGGTACGCTTAATCTATATTTAATAGACGTTGTCTCGGGTAACGTGATTTACTCGAACGTCCACAAAAGAACTAAGGGACCCGTTCATATTGTTCATTCCGAAAACTGGCTAGTTTATAGTTATTATAATGAAAAAAGTCGCAGGACTGAAATTGCGACTCTAGAATTGTACGAAGGCAAAGCTCAAAGCAATACAACAGGTAATTTTTTTTAAAAATAAAATAAAAATATTCCTATTAGTAACATTAATTCTCTGTCCAGTTTTTTCATCACTTAGTAACATGAAGTTACCGATAGTTGAAAGGCAAGCCTTCATTTTTCCTGCTTACATAGAATCATTACAAGAAACTATTACTGAAAAGGGTATCACTAGCAAACATATTCTAGGTAAATTTTTGTTTCTTTATTTTGAAATAATCTGTAAATATCTTTAATAGTTATTAAATTTTATTTATTTTAGTCGCTTTGGCCAATGGCGGAGTTTTAGAGTTACCATGGATATTATTAGATCCTAGACGACCAATCAATCCGGAACTACGAGAAGAAGGTGTCATTCCTTATATGCCAGAGATACCAATTCACATGGATAGTATTATAAATTATAATCAAAGCGTTTATAGGGTATCTGGAATTCACACGAGCCCTAGTGGCCTTGAAAGTACATGTCTGGTTTTTGTTTATGGATTAGGTAAGCTACATATCAATATCTTAATCTTTTGGTACATATTGAAAATAAAAAACTTCTTTGGCAAATATTTTTTACAGATTTGTTTTACACGAGAGTCGCGCCGTCAAAAACATTTGACCTCCTAAAGGAAGACTTTGACTACTATCTGATTGTTATTGTACTCTCGGCTCTTGTGATTTCGTCATATGTAACGAAAAAATTAGCATCTCAAAAGGTACAAAAACAAGCGTGGAAATAATGCAGCTGTTTTAACATTTCGAATCTGCCTTTATGCGCAATGCACTATATAGCTGCTACAAATGGTATGATATTTATCCACGTATTTTAGTAATTTTATAAATGGAGAAACACAAATTCACACGTTCAACGCGTACATATTTGCAAATGCATGTACTTTAACTTTCTTAATCCAAAGATTCTTTGAATGGATGAAAAATTGTATCTTACAATTCAGGGAACTGATGATTATAAAGTATGTAAGAACGTAAGGTTAATTAGTTTGTATTTATTAATAAAATGTTTTACGTATATCGTTACAGATCGTTTTGAACCTTAGGAAAAAATGTTTATTATCTAATTCATGAAAAGTTTTAGTATACGTCTGCATAGTATACTGAGAATTACAAATCTGTATTATAATAGTGAATTTATGAAGTACGCATCGTTATAATTTACTAAAAAAAATTAATTTAATTAATAATTATCATCCATTAAAAAAACTTGTATGTACTCACGTGTGTAGTCACGCCATGATCATTAAATGATCAATCAATATTTTTGCAATTGGTAAATTGTTTTACTAACAAATTTTATATCATCATAATTGTGTCTCAACTGCCAGAAAATTGTAATACTTAATGATGTGATTGGTACTGCATTTGGATAGAGAAACTTAATACATCCATACTCATTTGTGTATGTATGCATGTTTGTTTATAAAATGATGTTATGGTTCTTTCTTTTTATGTACATGCAACTAAAGAGAAAATCGTAATTAAAGATTATCTCTTTTGTATGATCAAGTGTGCAAAGAAAATAAATTAATTGTATATCCCACGGTTCTGATGTCAACGTATAACATATAGAGTAACTGACTGAAACTAATCAAAAAGTAAGAATGGTGAAAAAAAAATAGTTGTATTACATGGCTGATCAGTAAAACTACATAATAGATTCTACTTGTTAGTAGTATGTAAATACTTTTTAGAACTTGACAGATAGACAAAAATAAAATTTTTTATTCGTTTTCATCTGGACAACAGAACAATTGATCGGTTTCATGTAAAAATCAAACTTTTCACTTAATCAAATAAAATACATAATTCAGACCTATAATTTATGTTTATTCAGCAAAACAGTCAGTCAGACAAAGTGAGGTCATTATTCGAATATTTTTGGCACAGAATATTATTTTTCAATTATTTACAATTGACAATATTGTATATTTTTCATATAAAAATTTATATACAGGTTCTTTAATGAATATAAAAATTTTATGAACATTGAATGATCACAAGAGTTCCAACTTAGAGTGTGCATAACTTGAAATTGTAAATACGTTCTGTCGATAATTACTTTTGATGTCGCAATTTTCCACCTAATAAAAGAACAATGTGTTAACGCTGATTTATTTTTATTATTAGACAATGAAAATAATGCACTAATTTTTTACCATTGAATACCAAACACTGTGGTTATTTTCGAGTATTACTGGCTCTACATGTCGATCCCAAATATCAATACATTTAATCCAGACTAAATCTACATCGTAATCGGCTATGGCTTTGTACATATTTACACAACATTCCTTAGGACAATAAAAGATATGTAAACAAACATGTATATCTTTTCACATTTTTTTGTTGCACTGGTTTTACGTAAATACCTGAAGTTTTGAATGCTGGTGAAAATCAAGATACGATTCCGTGATACTTAAAATATTCCAGGTATCTTTTTCAAGAAGTTCCAAGTCTTTAACAAACCTTCCTAGTTTGGATAAGATTTCCTTTTGCAATTTAAATATTTGTGTTAACTTGTAAGTACTTTCTGAATCTTTTTTATAACTTTCTGTACTGGATTTCTTTAAAAAGCTCGAAAGTGCAGGTAAAATTTGTCTGAAATATCATTACGCTCCTGAATTAATGTTCAATATGATCATGGCACGCGTGTTTACTTACTTTAAAGTTCTGGATCTTATAAAATCTTTTGCAACTCGAGCAAGACAGCACAACAACTGCCACGCGCGATTTACAAGAATTGGATTAGGATTCTGAAATCTATCTACCAGTGGATGCCAAATTTCGTGAACTATCGGCAGTAACTCGTTTTCCATATTTTTCAAGACTGATAGTCCTTCTGTCAATGTTGACATTGCCAAAGATGATTCCGTAAAATCTTGTGATGGTACAAAGTGCAAGCATCTCTTCATTATATCTTTAACCATTTTAACAGATCCGGAAACTTCAACTTCTTTTGTTTCTAATAAAATGTTAAATCTCTCAGAGCCTTGTAAAGAATTTTTAAATACGTAATTACAATAAAAAATATATACCTTCTAGAGCGTCAAATTCTTGAAAGTATTCTTTTGAATTATTTTTTAATTCTTCAAAACTGTCAACTTTTTCCTCATTTTCATATGAAGTAGAAACATTCTTGGCATTGCGGTACTCTAAAAAATTATTGATAATTTTTTCTGATACCCTTAAATTCCTAATATCTTTAAAGTACTCATTATTTTCTGTAAAATCTTGACTAGTAGATAATCTTTTTACGCACATCACGAATGCGTAAAAAACTCTGATAAAAGACTGAGCGTTGCGTTTCTGAATATTAGCACTTGATTCTCTGAGTAAATCATCAACTATGCTCTTCAAATGAGGCAAGAAATCGATTGTGCTGTAATTTGTAACAACTCCGACTACATCTAAAACTCTTGGATATCTGTCTATACGATGAAGCTTCATAGTTATATGATACGATATGTAGTCGACGTTGTTTTGAAATAAATTTTCTATTGAGTCCTGCTTTAGCGATTTCGCAATTGTTTTAAGAGTTTCAAGTCCTATCAACCGCATTAAGTAATATTCACTACCTAAAAAAATAAATGGAAAGACTTTATTAATAAAACAAAAAAAATATTTTATTAGGATTTTTAAATTAAATTGGTTTTTGTTAGTAATTTGTCAAAAATCACAATTTTAACTCATTACTATACATCCTACATGGTGCACCATGAAACTTTTATTTATAGAATGTAACATCGTAAATTATATAAAATAATTAATATTATTACCAGCTTTTTCAATGATAAGGTATAATGATTTTAACAGAAACTGTTGATAATCATCTTGCAAAACTTTTGCCGTTATTCCAAGACCTTCAAGAAGAAGACAAGAGGACACTATGTTATGTTGAGCTGTTGGAAGGTTTACTTCATCTGATATTTTTGTGGGCTGGTTCCAAAAATCTGATGCTACATAGTGTTCAATAACTTGTTGGCAAATCAACTTTCGTTCTGTACAATCTGTAAAAACTATTAGTCACGTATATGTAAAAAATTACTACAGTGCTTAATGAACAAGTTATAAAATATTCTACCTTCTAAAATAGTATTTAACATTAAAACAAATTCTTTTTTTAATTCTGGTAGATCTAGTGTCATTTTCAAAATGCTGTCAACTAGTATTTTGGTATCTCCCAACTCTCCGATGCATTTCAAAACATCATAAAACTTTGCAATCGTAGTATCATGAAATAAAAATTTAAACTGTTTCCAAGACTCAGTATTTTGACAATGTACAGTTTCGTCGAAATCTGCAATTTATTTGTTAGTGCATCAATATAAACATTTTTCAATAAAAAGTATACAAAAAGATCCTACTTGTTGTAGTCGTATCTTCCAGCAACGAAACATTACTACAATCAAGTTCAGCTATACTGACAAGCGTTAATAATAACTTTCGTAAATGTGCCGATGAAAGCAAGATCACGGACAATCGTTGTTTATCCAGAAATTTCAAATATCCAGTTAATCGATTTAACCAAACTAATTGTAAGGTTTCACCTGAACAAAATCGTAATTTTTGAAACATACAATTTATTGTATATATTTTAATGAAAGAAAAAAATTACCAGAGGTCCTAATGATTCTTGGCATTTTTGTCAATAAGTCATAAAAATTGTCTTCTAAAATTTCAACAGTACATTTCATTGTTTCATCTAGAAAACATTTCTCTTGAATCTCTTTCAAAACTTTTCTTGTATAGTTGGCAACTTGTTTATTTTCATCTACTGATAGTATCATTAAAATTTCTAGAAGTGTTTGGAAGCATAGCTTCATATTTTTACAGCAACTTAACAGTATATGGCTGACTCCAATGGAAAGCTCTTGTCTAACTTTAAAATTTGAATGCTTTGTCAATATATCTAAGTCTTGAAATACAATTTTAAACTTTTGACATGCTGTAGTATACCACTCTGAAGTTCTTTTTGTATTTTCCAAAATGTTCTTCATTGCTTCAAATTCTTTAACATTTTTTGTAACAAAAATGTCCTTTGTTATTAAAGTTTTTGTAGAACTTTCTTCTTCTGGAATGTCACGCATCACTAATGCTGTTACTCGGCTCCACGCTCTAATCGCTATCTAAAAAATTTTAATATATAGCAATGTATACTTTATAACATGCAAATATTAAAAAAAAAATAGTTATTAACCATAGTGATTTTATGATTTTGAGTATCATGTCCAAGGGCGATATCTAGCAAACCTTTAACAATTCCTGGCAAGCACAACATAATTACATCAGCAATCTGGCTACGTAAAACTGTATCATGGGAGTCAGCTTCATCATGTATTTGTAACAAAACCATGACAGTTTCTATGGCATGTATTCTAGAAGATAAAGTTTTTTTTAAATTGTGTAGAATTTTTTTATGTTAGTAGAAATAAGATATCAAAAATAACTTTACCTGAGGGAGATAGATCTTTCTAATCTAGCTAAAGAAATACATAAATAAATTCCATGGCTTAATAAAGCAGCATATTGTCTAATATAAAACTGTTCAATGATGCTTGTCGAGCTGTGCTTGATCAGATCTCTTAAACACAAGATAGCTATTTCTTTCAACTCCTCGTGAGCTTCTATTACTAAAAATCATATTGAAACTATTAATTTATGAAATTACTTTTTGTAATGAAGGCTTACTTGTTGGTTAACTTGTTAAATAAAACTTACAAGACAAAGATTTATCTTTATCAGAAATTTGTGAGCGCAAGCATCTATAAATTTTAAAAAATAGTTTTAAATCATCTAGTCTGATTTTTATAAGAACAGCCCTCATGGCCTGAATTAGTTTTATGTTATCATCTTTCCTGAAAAAAATAAACTGTCATTAGACACTTGTTACATTGTTGCATACTTGCTACATAAATCTCTTTCTTTACCCAAAGGTACCATTTTGTAAGTGAAATGTCAGAGGCAGGAGAATATTGACATGCTTAAAAAGGGCTGTATTACTGGACATTTTGCTTATCAGTTTAGCAATTTGTTCGGCCTTCTCAGGACTGGGCTCTTGGTCAAACGAATCGCATAGCGGCTTCAAAACTAAAATAACCTCAGCTACCGATAATTCATCCATTTTTTTCACCTGCTATTAAAACTAGTCCACAATAAAATCATCAAAGTAATATTTAAATAAAAAATCTACATTTTGGAGATAATACCGCACTCACCAAGAACTTATTCTACTGACATTTAAAGACGAATTTGCCTCTTTTACGACCTGACCGTAGAAACTGTCCAATGAAAATTCACTCCTTGCTTTTGCTTTTAAGTGCATTACAGCGAAAAAGGACATTTCGGGTAAGTGGGGGGCACTACAGTACTACACCACACACTGCGTGACAAGATTTGTTCGAGGCTTTAACTCGGAGTCGGAAACTTGGGTGGATGGAGGACCGATGAACTTCACCGAATCGAACCAGACCAACCGAATACAGCTATATATGTGCCTACCCAAAGCTTTGGCAGGCGATTCAATTTAAACGGATGGATGCCGAAAAAACACATAGCGAAATAGATAGGTACCAACCATATTCTATACTTTCATCCCGAGTTCCAAAGTTATAAAATTATATTGCGTGTTTTAGTTGGATGGAATTATAAATGGACATGATAAGCCCCCTTTATTCATATATAAATTCACGGTGTTTAAATAGTACGTGTAGGCCAATTAATCTACGAAGGCTCAATGTTAAATTTGACATTAGTGTTAACAGAAAACAAAAAATACGTTGATATAGAAGGAAATGATTCAAGAAACATAGCGTTTTGTTTTTTCGGTTATTCAGTGGCTGAGTTAACCTAAAAAATTCGTGAAAGTCCGAAAATCACTTTTTTCGCGTTTGAAAAAAAAGTTGACCTCCAATGCCGAAAAGTTAAATGACAAAGTTGTAGATCTTAAAAAAACCTATCGATTGACGCGCGTTGGATATAATTTGAATGCGTAGTTGCTGAGCAAACTTGAAAAAACCATCGAAAATCGTCTTTTTTTAATTTGTTAATAACTTTTTTTCTTTTGAGATTTTATAGTTGATATTCGGTAAAATTATGAGTTTTTGGTTCAAAAATTTTCAGTTGTTCTTTTAGCGAAAAATATTAAAAAATTTTTGAAATATCGCATTTTTTCGAAAAAAAAAACCTTTCGTAAAAACTTCAATAGACGTCAGGAAATAATGCTGGAGCGATTTTTCAGGGCTTAATCTCTTCGTCTAGACTTATTCTATCACGCAATGTTTGTAGTAAGTAAAATTTTTTAATTTTTGATGCCGAAATCGGACTCCGAAAAAAGTACTTTTTTTTTCTATCGGTTTTTTGCATTTTTTTTACGTATTTTGATAATTGCACGTATATAACTAACTGCAATGCATTGTACTTATTTTTTTACGAATTAAAAAAAAAAAATTTTCATGATACGACCATGTGGAGCCAAGTTAGGTTTTTTTTTTAAAAAAAATCCCTATGCGACGGTGAAAAGCGTAGAACTCTGAAACTTGCACAATTTACTAACAAATACCCATTTTGCATTAAAAAAATTATTCGCAATCGTTAACTTTAGCGGAACGATGGGTATGATAACGTTACAGTTGAGTCTTTTTTCGCGTCGCGCATCGACTGCCCGCTGGTATGAGGTGTGTCTGGCTGGTTGCTCTTACTCGGGCGCTCGGACAACGCTGCTTGGGGACGTCAAGTCTTGTAAATATTACCTTTATTATGGTTACCTGACTTTATTTGTAGATGTTATCACAGGTTCATTAAAAATAAGTAATGGGTTAACGAAAAAAAGCAATATATTTTAATTCTTTTTTTTTATTCAATAATACAAATTCTTTTAAAAAAAGTAAAACTAATTCATATTATATGTTCGCACCTTCTTATAGGGTTGCTCATTAATGTCATCAAGCACATCCTCGTTTTCTTCATGATCCATGGTACATTCCAGTACTGGATCATTAAAAGCCGGTATTTGCAAATTGCAAAACATGTCTTCATTAATTGGAAATTGTCCAATACTTACATCACCAATATCCGTATTCTCCACGAAAGACTGCTCATGTGAAATAGCATGATCTACTTCTTCAAAATTTGTGCACTGCGAGTCCTGGCAATAAGCACATTCATTGGAACACTTCAGACCGTGCTTGAAACAACTACAATACTCCATTTCGGAGCCGTATCGGAGCGCCCGAGTAAGAGCAACCAGCCAGACACACCTCATACCAGCGGGCAGTCGATGCGCGACGCGAAAAAAGACTCAACTGTAACGTTATCATACCCATCGTTCCGCTAAAGTTAACGATTGCGAATAATTTTTTTAATGCAAAATGGGTATTTATTAGGAAAGTGTGCAAGTTTCAGAGTTTTACGCTTTTCACCGTCGCATAGGGATTTTTTTTAAAAAAAAAAACCTAACTTGGCTCCACATGGTCGTATAATAAAAATTTTTTTTTTAAATTCGTAAAAAAATAAGTACAATGCATTGCAGTTAGTTAAATACGTGCAATTATCAAAATACGTAAAAAAAATGCAAAAAACCGATAGAAAAAAAAAGTACTTTTTTCGGAGTCCGATTTCGGCATCAAAAATTAAAAAATTTTACTTACTACAAACATTGCATGATAGAATAAGTCTAGACGAAGAGATTAAGCCCTGAAAAATCGCTCCAGCATTATTTCCTGACGTCTATTGAAGTTTTTACGAAAGGTGTTTTTTTTCGAAAAAATGCGATATTTCGAAAAATTTTTAATATTTTTGGCTAAAAAAACAACTGAAGGTTTGTGAACCAAAAACTCATAATTTTACCGAATACCAACTTTAAAATCTCAAAAGAAAAAAAGTTATTAACAAATTAAAAAAAGACGATTTTCGATGGTTTTTTCAAGTTTGCTCAGCAACTACGCATTCAAATTATATCCAACGCGCGTCAATCGATAGGTTTTTTTAAGATCTACAACTTTGTCATTTAACTTTTCGGCATTGGAGGTCAACTTTTTTTTCAAACGCGAAAAAAGTGATTTTCGGACTTTCACGAATTTTTTAGGTTAACTCAGCCACTGAATAACCGAAAAAACAAAACGCTATGTTTCTTGAATCATTTCCTTCTATATCAACGTATTTTTTGTTTTCTGTTAACACTAATGTCATCTTTTTCGTAGATTAATTGGCCTAGTTCAGGTATACAGCAACTCGGATTACGAACGCGTTTATTGTTCTTACAAAGAGCGCAAAGCAATACGCGCGAACTGGAAGAAAAATATTTTTGCACGGTTTCATATATCTTTTGTCGAGTTTCATCAAAAACTACAATAATGAGACGTATGAACCCAAACAAGATGTTTACAAATAATGAATAAACAATTCGATTTCGATTCATGGAAAACAAAAAAAGTGTGGTAAACGTTTGAGAGCAATGTTGTTACGTGTTTAAAAATATAAAATTTTCGTAGTTCATTAAAAAATGTACGTCTTGCTTCAACAAAATATTTAATTAAGTTCAACGAACATCGCACCCATGAGTTTGACATCCAACGATTATGAACAAACTTCTTTTATTATTATCTCGCTAATTGTACAGTGCATGCATTGATATACAAAGATTGGTATGAATGTAATATTGTATAATAATGTTTTATTTACCTTAAAGCAGAATAAGTAATTGCTTACGTAGCTACAGACTTTTATCTACCTACCCCGTACAAACTATACGTGAGTTCTCGGAACTTGGGAAGTTAGGAAAACAACACCGGATAACCGGATCGAATCGTCGACACCTCGTAGTGTATTCTTATGCATATGGGTCATTCTATAAAAAAAGAAATTTTCCATGTCCCAATCAAATTGAAATTCCATTCACATAGATCTTGTTTTAACTTTTTAAAATAATAAAATGTTTTTAAAAATTTTTTTTAGCCAAAGTCAGAACTAAAATTAGGTCATGAAATTGCTTTAATTTATCAATGTTTGTAGTAAGTAAAATTTTTTAATTTTTGATGCCGGAAAAGGGCACCACTAGCAAACATATTCTAGGTAAATTTTTGTTTCTTTATTTTGAAATAATCTGTAAATATCTTTAATAGTTATTAAATTTTATTTATTTTAGTCGCTTTGGCCAATGGCGGAGTTTTAGAGTTACCATGGATATTATTAGATCCTAGACGACCAATCAATCCGGAACTACGAGAAGAAGGTGTCATTCCTTATATGCCAGAGATACCAATTCACATGGATAGTATTATAAATTATAATCAAAGCGTTTATAGGGTATCTGGAATTCACACGAGCCCTAGTGGCCTTGAAAGTACATGTCTGGTTTTTNCAATTAAGTCTTATTATTTTCTGCCTTCCGCGAAGTCTCTTATTCAGTTTTACATGTTATTTGTTTTTGTTAATCCTTTGTGCAGCCTCACTATTGCGAGGTGAGCGAGCCCGGCTTCTCGTACAAATTTGATTTTAAGAAGCTGAAAAAAACCGACGACTACGTTATTAGACATGACAACGACGTTTTGAGATTACGAATATGCGAGCAATTAAAAACGAGTTGCAACAAACATAAAGGATACTCCATTTGTTTATCAAAGGGGAAGTCTAATTCCGAGATAGGCATTGGTAAGTGTTTTTTTCTACGTATTTTTTGAGACACTTTTTTTGTGCCATTACGCAAAGCTAAAAGATTTTATTTTTACTTTTCTTTGTTTATACAGGAAGGGAACCTCCGGAAGTAATTCCCGAATTTGGTAAAATAATTTTCAAGTACACCGGCGAACAGTGTGATGATAAGCATAATTATACTGTAAACATAAAAATGATTTGTGATTTTGCTATCAAAGATGGAAGTGGCATGGCATTTGCCGCAGCAATGGTATGTTTATTTGCATCTAATCTTATCTTAAAAGAAGTTAAAAATAAAAGAAAAAAAATTTAACTTATTTTTTAAACAATTTTAGGATACCAATCCATGTGAATATAACATAGCGTGGCGAACTGATGTCGCCTGTTCAGCTAAAAAAGTAGTAAATTGTACTGTAGATAATGGATCAAATCATTATGATCTATCTAAATTGATTAATCTTTCAGACAATTATAAAATCACATTTAATGAAACCCATTCGGTAATATTAAATGTTTGCCATTCCGTTTTGTATAGTCGTCGAGCTTGTGGAGCACATAATGGTATGTGCCTTGTTAATAATAATGCACCAATGGGCCAGTAAGTTTAATTCAACTTGATTTTAAATATACATTCACTTGGATATACATTTATAAATGTACGATTATACACATGTATATGTTTCTAGGACAAACAAGGGACTGGGTGAACCAATTGATGATTTACAATTTATTGCTGATGGCGAATTATCTTTGATTTATAAACAAGGACCAATGTGTCCTGAGAATGTTCCTAATGCACTTCCACATATACAATCAGTAATCATATTTACTTGTGATTTAGATGCAACAGTACGTACAATACGAGATGTTTTGCTTATACAGTCGAGCAAGTCAGAGTGGCCCATACTGTATATATACATATATGAAACAGTTTGGACCAATTTAACTGCTATGAGAATAAGCGAATAAGTCTAATGATATGACTTGGTTACTTATCTATACAGACTTGGAAATTTATTGTACACTAATTTATTTTTTTTTAGGATACACTACCCAAGTACGTAGGAGGGCAGGAAACATGTAATTATACTTTTACTTGGAGAACTGCACAAGCCTGCAGTGAAAAAAAGTTGCATGAAAAAAGCTTAGAAATAACAAACAATGACGTGTGTACGGTAAAAGACCCCGTTACGAAACACGTTTTTAATTTAACGTCATTCATGAATGAAGAGTTTAATGTTACGTCGTTTGCAAGTAACGAAATATATAAATTCAGTATTTGTTCACCTTTGGGTGATTCTATCTGTGGACCTGAAGCAGGTGCTTGTAGAATTCACAGTAAAGTATCAGGTGGAAAAGCTACCACCAAATTAATGTGGAAAGAAAGTGGCCCATATTTGAATTATACGGATGGACATTCATGTAACAATAATCAGAGTCGAAGATACACAATTATTGAATTTCATTGTGGTAATAGAAATGATTATGAAATTGAAGATCAAGATGATATTTGCAGTAAAGTCATAAAAATGAGTACAAAATTAGCTTGTGACGAAAAGGTAAAATTTATGTTATTATACATCAAGTGCATACAGTTTTAATTCACACAATCAATATTTTTAGAAAAGGGAGTGCGCCACTGCTAAAAATGAAGTTAATTTAAGATCATTAATTCGTCTGAGAGAAAATTACATCACTAAAGTAGATGGTGCGAATTTTTATATGAATATTTGTAAGCCACTTGTAAAAAAAAATAATCTTAGCTTGTGCAATGGTGCGGGTTTATGTAAAGCTGTGATCACAGACGGCAAAATAACGGATGTTGTCGTAAGAGTGCATTAATTATCAATAAAATTGTGCTTTATTGAAACAAATTTTGATGATATAATATTTTATCATAGAATTTGGGATATCCGGATGACAGTCCTGTTCTGACGAGTGCTGACACAGTCACGTTGATGTACCATAACGGGTCAATATGCAAAGAAGAAAAAAAATCAAGAATAGAATCAAGGATACTGTTTTCATGTGATCCATTCCTTTCAAATTTGGCGCAGGGTCAGCCACAATTTTTGAGATACGAAAAATGTATATACTTTTTTGAATGGAAAACAAACGTTGTTTGCGGTAAAGTTGACGGCATTTATGCCAACAATTACATAACTAATACTTATGGTGATCACCTAAATTTATCAGTATTAGCTATGGATAAAAATCCGGTGTACCTAGTACGTATTAAATTTTACACGTAATAAGTTTTTTTTCCTCTGCATTCAAAATTAATTTGGATCTTATTCAAACAGGTTGAAGATAGACTAAAAACGAAAAAGTACAAGATATCCTTTTCTAGCAATAAAAAGTATTGTCATGGAGCATTAGTATGTGACACCAACAACGACATAAATTATGGCACCGAAGTAAGTGTGATTTGGGATTATTCTCACAATCTTATTCGTCTCTCGTCAACTGAAGGTAGCAGATGCAGCGATGGTACTTTAGCACAATCGACTATCACTATATTCTGTAACGAAGAATCGTATACAGATGAACCACTATTTCTAAGAGTAAAAACATATTTTTCAAAGCAATCAAAATTAAAATTTTTGTTTTCATTTTATTAATACTATTGCAAATTTCAGGGGGATAATTGTAGTGTAGAATTCGAATGGTATACTAGTAAGATTTGTAAGTCGCAAGCAGAACCACTGATTTCTACATTAAATAGTACAAATGGTAAATATATTTGAATATCACAAATTATAGAATTACAATTCTTTCTTCAATCTCAAGTTTTGTAAGTAATTTCAGGTGGAGCAATAATTGGTATCATTGTTTTGATAGTTTGTGCATTATCAATTTGTTACTTAAAAGATTCGACAAGACGATCTCATTTTTTAGATCTAATTACCTGTAATTTGACTACAAGAAACTGTGATCGTGTTAAGTATTCTCGGGTATGTTGTCAAAAAACCAATTCATCAATCAATATACAGTTAGACTGTGCTTGATACAAAATTTCTAATTTGAGCATATTTATTTGATTTTATTTTGTAGTTTAAATCATATGTATTTGCAAAGAAATTTTTTGTTATATTTCATAAGTGTTACATAGACATCACATTAAATATCACAGTGTCAATTATAATATTGTGCTATACAGAAACTTATTAAGAATTTTTAATAATTTGTTATTTTTTAAACAATTTTAGGATACCAATCCAGTAAAAAAAAAAAAAAAAAAAAAAAAATGGCTGAATTGACGTTACGCATCGTGTCTCACTCAGAAATTTTTATTTAACGACACCTGAAAGCCAAATTTTAATTACTTTTGCGCCACATAGGACCCTAAAGTAATTAGCATGAGCTTTAATTTTGTGTATTTTAGAGAACCAAAAAAAAAGTTTTTTTCCAAGAGTTGTCTGCTGTGAAAGTATTGCTTACTCAAAATCTGATCAATTCAATAAGTATATCCGCGAAAGGTATATACTCTCGTAAATGCGCACAATGGAATTTGGGGGTGCTCTCCAATTCAGTTTTGTACATCTTGCGAAGGTTCATAATGTATAGCGGCGAAAATCAAAAAACAAATTTTCTATAGTACATGCTTACAAGAATTCGTCAAGTAAATCTCCCCAAAACAAAAACTCGGGGCCCGTGACGGTTTAAATTAATGCAGCGATCTTCGCGAGTGTTGAATAAGGCTGCGTATACATGGAGTCTTGAACTTCCAGGACCAGCCCATAAGCCCGTGTGAGTGCGAGTGAAAAGCAAGAACATATTACTCTCTTTTTCGCACTCACAAGGGCACATGGGCTGGTCCTGGATATTCAAGACTCCATGTACTATACGTATCCTTATGCAGGTAAATGGACGATCTGAGGCTTGTTTTTTTTACTTCAGGCTGTAAGTTGTATGTATCCCGTAGCCGGGAACTTTCTTTCACTTAACGGCCATTGAGACGAAATTTTCGTTTACTGAGATCAAAAATTGCTATTTACAACGATTTTCTTAGATCATAACGTATATATTATACCCAGTGTAAAATTATTTTTTGAGCAGTTCTAGTGGGCCCCTAAAAATTATAACTTGTCACGAACGATGAAAAAAAAAACATTAGGGGTAAATGACCCAATTACTGCGCACTGAAATTTTTGATTGTACTAAATTTCTCATTTCTCAATGTTTTTCGATGTAAATTGAACCAGTTTTACTTAATCTTTATCTGCAGCATCTTGTGCGATTAAAACGACAAACATTTTTCTGTTGAGTAACTTTTTTTTTTTAAATAATTGTTTTAGTGCTGATATCACTTGCTGGTATTACTGCGCACGGTTATAAAATTAGCACCAGTCGCTGCGCCCCCAATTACTGCGCGGGTATCTCCCATAAGGTTTTCATGCTGAAGTCCTATGTCCTATAGACCAAATTGCTGCGCACCAATCACTACGCACGACTACAAAGTTTTGTAGGTTAGATTCGTTGAGAGTCACTCAGTTGAACAATTATAAATGTCATGATGTACAGTATGATTCTGGATTGAACGTTATTAATGTCCGTACGTGTTACAATATCCAAGCATCCAAATTTTTCAGTCTGTTTTTCTCATTTTCAGTTACCGTCGAGTGCGCAGTAATGGATGCCTGCGCAGTAATTGGGTCATTTATCCCTAGATGAACTAAAAATCTTTTCGAGGCTTTGTCCCTTTCAGCCTTCGAATTTCGAAATTACGACTTGTAAGTATCAGTTTTCGTAAAATGAACCATATAGGGTATACGTGCACGACGGTGGGGTCGGTGGGTGGCTGGCGGCGGCTCAAAGCCCGAACACACGGCCAGCGGGTGTCGGCGGCGCGGCGGTGGCGATAATTCTCTGAATTGTAAGACGCCAGTAGGTACTTTACGACTCTTTTTGGACTTAAATACCTACTTTCTTTGTATAGTTAAATCAGAGGTTGCATGCGGGCCAGTAGGTACGTCCAACCGGTGCAAGTGCAGTACGTAAGGCCATGTAGCATGTTTTTCTTATCGCACGGACAGTTTATGAACATCAGCGAGTACTTCATCATTTCTAACACAAGGGGAAACAGCGATGCGGTTATTGATTTTCGTTTTGGCCGTTCTCGGCTTTTGCCTGACGGCTTTGGCTAAGAAGCAAGTGATCAAAAAGCGCACGGTAATAAGGAATAACTAATTTTCACTCTTTCCTTTTTTTCTCTCTCTTTCTCAGATTTTACATAATATGACCTTTACTTATACTTAATACTTAGAGTACGAGTATGTTTCTAATGTAATGTTTTCATTTTTATCTCATACAGAATAGTCTTTCTTTCAATTAAGTCTTATTATTTTCTGCCTTCCGCGAAGTCTCTTATTCAGTTTTACATGTTATTTGTTTTTGTTAATCCTTTGTGCAGCCTCACTATTGCGAGGTGAGCGAGCCCGGCTTCTCGTACAAATTTGATTTTAAGAAGCTGAAAAAAACCGACGACTACGTTATTAGACATGACAACGACGTTTTGAGATTACGAATATGCGAGCAATTAAAAACGAGTTGCAACAAACATAAAGGATACTCCATTTGTTTATCAAAGGGGAAGTCTAATTCCGAGATAGGCATTGGTAAGTGTTTTTTTCTACGTATTTTTTGAGACACTTTTTTTGTGCCATTACGCAAAGCTAAAAGATTTTATTTTTACTTTTCTTTGTTTATACAGGAAGGGAACCTCCGGAAGTAATTCCCGAATTTGGTAAAATAATTTTCAAGTACACCGGCGAACAGTGTGATGATAAGCATAATTATACTGTAAACATAAAAATGATTTGTGATTTTGCTATCAAAGATGGAAGTGGCATGGCATTTGCCGCAGCAATGGTATGTTTATTTGCATCTAATCTTATCTTAAAAGAAGTTAAAAATAAAAGAAAAAAAATTTAACTTATTTTTTAAACAATTTTAGGATACCAATCCATGTGAATATAACATAGCGTGGCGAACTGATGTCGCCTGTTCAGCTAAAAAAGTAGTAAATTGTACTGTAGATAATGGATCAAATCATTATGATCTATCTAAATTGATTAATCTTTCAGACAATTATAAAATCACATTTAATGAAACCCATTCGGTAATATTAAATGTTTGCCATTCCGTTTTGTATAGTCGTCGAGCTTGTGGAGCACATAATGGTATGTGCCTTGTTAATAATAATGCACCAATGGGCCAGTAAGTTTAATTCAACTTGATTTTAAATATACATTCACTTGGATATACATTTATAAATGTACGATTATACACATGTATATGTTTCTAGGACAAACAAGGGACTGGGTGAACCAATTGATGATTTACAATTTATTGCTGATGGCGAATTATCTTTGATTTATAAACAAGGACCAATGTGTCCTGAGAATGTTCCTAATGCACTTCCACATATACAATCAGTAATCATATTTACTTGTGATTTAGATGCAACAGTACGTACAATACGAGATGTTTTGCTTATACAGTCGAGCAAGTCAGAGTGGCCCATACTGTATATATACATATATGAAACAGTTTGGACCAATTTAACTGCTATGAGAATAAGCGAATAAGTCTAATGATATGACTTGGTTACTTATCTATACAGACTTGGAAATTTATTGTACACTAATTTATTTTTTTTTAGGATACACTACCCAAGTACGTAGGAGGGCAGGAAACATGTAATTATACTTTTACTTGGAGAACTGCACAAGCCTGCAGTGAAAAAAAGTTGCATGAAAAAAGCTTAGAAATAACAAACAATGACGTGTGTACGGTAAAAGACCCCGTTACGAAACACGTTTTTAATTTAACGTCATTCATGAATGAAGAGTTTAATGTTACGTCGTTTGCAAGTAACGAAATATATAAATTCAGTATTTGTTCACCTTTGGGTGATTCTATCTGTGGACCTGAAGCAGGTGCTTGTAGAATTCACAGTAAAGTATCAGGTGGAAAAGCTACCACCAAATTAATGTGGAAAGAAAGTGGCCCATATTTGAATTATACGGATGGACATTCATGTAACAATAATCAGAGTCGAAGATACACAATTATTGAATTTCATTGTGGTAATAGAAATGATTATGAAATTGAAGATCAAGATGATATTTGCAGTAAAGTCATAAAAATGAGTACAAAATTAGCTTGTGACGAAAAGGTAAAATTTATGTTATTATACATCAAGTGCATACAGTTTTAATTCACACAATCAATATTTTTAGAAAAGGGAGTGCGCCACTGCTAAAAATGAAGTTAATTTAAGATCATTAATTCGTCTGAGAGAAAATTACATCACTAAAGTAGATGGTGCGAATTTTTATATGAATATTTGTAAGCCACTTGTAAAAAAAAATAATCTTAGCTTGTGCAATGGTGCGGGTTTATGTAAAGCTGTGATCACAGACGGCAAAATAACGGATGTTGTCGTAAGAGTGCATTAATTATCAATAAAATTGTGCTTTATTGAAACAAATTTTGATGATATAATATTTTATCATAGAATTTGGGATATCCGGATGACAGTCCTGTTCTGACGAGTGCTGACACAGTCACGTTGATGTACCATAACGGGTCAATATGCAAAGAAGAAAAAAAATCAAGAATAGAATCAAGGATACTGTTTTCATGTGATCCATTCCTTTCAAATTTGGCGCAGGGTCAGCCACAATTTTTGAGATACGAAAAATGTATATACTTTTTTGAATGGAAAACAAACGTTGTTTGCGGTAAAGTTGACGGCATTTATGCCAACAATTACATAACTAATACTTATGGTGATCACCTAAATTTATCAGTATTAGCTATGGATAAAAATCCGGTGTACCTAGTACGTATTAAATTTTACACGTAATAAGTTTTTTTTCCTCTGCATTCAAAATTAATTTGGATCTTATTCAAACAGGTTGAAGATAGACTAAAAACGAAAAAGTACAAGATATCCTTTTCTAGCAATAAAAAGTATTGTCATGGAGCATTAGTATGTGACACCAACAACGACATAAATTATGGCACCGAAGTAAGTGTGATTTGGGATTATTCTCACAATCTTATTCGTCTCTCGTCAACTGAAGGTAGCAGATGCAGCGATGGTACTTTAGCACAATCGACTATCACTATATTCTGTAACGAAGAATCGTATACAGATGAACCACTATTTCTAAGAGTAAAAACATATTTTTCAAAGCAATCAAAATTAAAATTTTTGTTTTCATTTTATTAATACTATTGCAAATTTCAGGGGGATAATTGTAGTGTAGAATTCGAATGGTATACTAGTAAGATTTGTAAGTCGCAAGCAGAACCACTGATTTCTACATTAAATAGTACAAATGGTAAATATATTTGAATATCACAAATTATAGAATTACAATTCTTTCTTCAATCTCAAGTTTTGTAAGTAATTTCAGGTGGAGCAATAATTGGTATCATTGTTTTGATAGTTTGTGCATTATCAATTTGTTACTTAAAAGATTCGACAAGACGATCTCATTTTTTAGATCTAATTACCTGTAATTTGACTACAAGAAACTGTGATCGTGTTAAGTATTCTCGGGTATGTTGTCAAAAAACCAATTCATCAATCAATATACAGTTAGACTGTGCTTGATACAAAATTTCTAATTTGAGCATATTTATTTGATTTTATTTTGTAGTTTAAATCATATGTATTTGCAAAGAAATTTTTTGTTATATTTCATAAGTGTTACATAGACATCACATTAAATATCACAGTGTCAATTATAATATTGTGCTATACAGAAACTTATTAAGAATTTTTAATAATTTGTTATTTTTTAAACAATTTTAGGATACCAATCCAGTAAAAAAAAAAAAAAAAAAAAAAAAATGGCTGAATTGACGTTACGCATCGTGTCTCACTCAGAAATTTTTATTTAACGACACCTGAAAGCCAAATTTTAATTACTTTTGCGCCACATAGGACCCTAAAGTAATTAGCATGAGCTTTAATTTTGTGTATTTTAGAGAACCAAAAAAAAAGTTTTTTTCCAAGAGTTGTCTGCTGTGAAAGTATTGCTTACTCAAAATCTGATCAATTCAATAAGTATATCCGCGAAAGGTATATACTCTCGTAAATGCGCACAATGGAATTTGGGGGTGCTCTCCAATTCAGTTTTGTACATCTTGCGAAGGTTCATAATGTATAGCGGCGAAAATCAAAAAACAAATTTTCTATAGTACATGCTTACAAGAATTCGTCAAGTAAATCTCCCCAAAACAAAAACTCGGGGCCCGTGACGGTTTAAATTAATGCAGCGATCTTCGCGAGTGTTGAATAAGGCTGCGTATACATGGAGTCTTGAACTTCCAGGACCAGCCCATAAGCCCGTGTGAGTGCGAGTGAAAAGCAAGAACATATTACTCTCTTTTTCGCACTCACAAGGGCACATGGGCTGGTCCTGGATATTCAAGACTCCATGTACTATACGTATCCTTATGCAGGTAAATGGACGATCTGAGGCTTGTTTTTTTTACTTCAGGCTGTAAGTTGTATGTATCCCGTAGCCGGGAACTTTCTTTCACTTAACGGCCATTGAGACGAAATTTTCGTTTACTGAGATCAAAAATTGCTATTTACAACGATTTTCTTAGATCATAACGTATATATTATACCCAGTGTAAAATTATTTTTTGAGCAGTTCTAGTGGGCCCCTAAAAATTATAACTTGTCACGAACGATGAAAAAAAAAACATTAGGGGTAAATGACCCAATTACTGCGCACTGAAATTTTTGATTGTACTAAATTTCTCATTTCTCAATGTTTTTCGATGTAAATTGAACCAGTTTTACTTAATCTTTATCTGCAGCATCTTGTGCGATTAAAACGACAAACATTTTTCTGTTGAGTAACTTTTTTTTTTTAAATAATTGTTTTAGTGCTGATATCACTTGCTGGTATTACTGCGCACGGTTATAAAATTAGCACCAGTCGCTGCGCCCCCAATTACTGCGCGGGTATCTCCCATAAGGTTTTCATGCTGAAGCCCTAGACCCAATTGCTGCGCACCAATCACTACGCACGACTACAAAGTTTTGTAGGTTAGATTCGTTTAGAGTCACTCAGTTAAACAATTATAAATGTCATGATGTAAAGTATGATTCTGGATTGAACGTTATTAATGTCCGTACGTGTTACAATATCCAAGCACCCAAATTTTTCAGTCTGTTTTTCTTATTTTCAGTTACCGTCGAGTGCGCAGTAATTGGTGCCTGCGCAGTAATTGGGTCATTTACCCCTA